CAGGCCATGTGTACAAGAAGCCTCCATCACCATCAGAAAGGCTCAGGCCACTGCGCAGCTGCAGAGACCCTACACAAGACACAGCACACTTCAGAATTCAAAAACCCTGCATGGAACCTGCCCTTCCTATTTCTGAAGGAATGACATGAAGCCTGAGAGGACGACTTACATGGAACACTGTACAATAACATCAGCAATCTGTAATAAAAGGCACAATTACCATATACTCTTCAAATTAGTTATATTCTTCTAAGTATCCCAAATAAAAATAGTCCTGTACTGTGTCTTGAAGCTGGCCTTTGACACACATCACATGGGAGTGATGTCCCTGAGACCCAGCACAGGCTTCTAATTATTATCAAATCCCACCCACATTTCCGCTGGCCTCCTTTCCCCTGCCATGCACAGCTGGGCTATTTCATGCACTAAGCTCATAAGCTGTCATTGGTAAGTGAAGCTGGATGTAGTCAGGCCAGTATATATATATGGACATCTGACTGCAGAGAAAACACCTAAGGGCTTATTATTTAAATCAGCCTGTGAGCATAGGATATCCTGCTGGTGGCATTTCAAATGGATAGAGATACAGCTATCAAAGGGGATACAGCACAGATGCTACATCATAGACTGTAAAATTCTTTGTTTTATTTATATTTTTATGAAGTAGTACTGAATATTATCAATATAAGTAGGTCTTTCTTGCCTAATACATGTTCATCTTGAAGATAATTTCAAAGAGCTGATTCCTTAACTGTGTTTGTACACAAATATAGTCAAGTCCTTCTGAGAGGAATTTTGCTTGAGTAAGGACTGTGGAATCAGACTTTGGGGGTCAGCTTCCTGCCCCATAGAATGCAGTGGGAAAGTTCCCACAACCAGAGGGGGCCTCTCACAGCACATTCCAGGCGGGAAGCATCTGCAGAGGTTCTATGAAGACAGTGCCATGTCTCAAGATGCTATCAGCATTTGTGACAGCCAAAGCCACTGTGCCATGCCCTGAGAAGATCCAAATCAAATTCCATAAACTTATTATTTGCAGCATAAGCAAGGGTGTGTGCACACATGTGTGTGGATGTGTGTGTCCATATAGCAATGCAGCATTAGGCCTTACACTGTAGAAGAAATCCACACTCCTGAGTTTACAATATTCCCACCATCAGGACGCACAGTGAGAGAAAAGCTTATCTTACTTTGAAACCTCTATAAGGAAGTTGTTCTCAATCTCATGAGGTTCAGGGAAACTTAACCACAAGTTGACAAAAAGACAAATGAAGCCAAATTCATGAGTTCACTTGACACTATTTTCAGGCTGTCTCCTATTTGCCAGGCACTCTTCCAAAAATGGGATACAGCAGCAAAAAGAAAACCATGATCCTACATTCTGTTGTTTCACTGAGAACTCTGAACATGCTCATCAGTTCAGATCTGAACACCAACCACACCCTCTCTCTTACCATTATATACCACTTCCTGGAATAAATCTGGGACATAAGTGGTGGTCCACATACTTACTAAATTAATATGTGGGAACAGGGATTTATTGTTGTTGTTTTGTTGTAGTTTTTGGTACAAGGGATTGAACTCAGGGGAACTTAACAGCTGAGCCACATCCTCAGTCCTTTTTTTTTCTGTTTTGAGACAGGGTCTCACTAAGTTGCTTAGAGCCTTGCTAAATTGCTGAGGCTGGTTTTGAACTTGCAATCCTTCTGCTCTCAGTATCCAGAGCTGCTAGGATTATAGATGTGTACCACCATGCCCGGCAGACCAGGGATTTGACCTTGAACTCACGAAAGCCTCATGAAACTCTTTGGAGACAAAAAAAGCAAAATAATAATTTATCCATTCACCTGAGGAGTTGTATGAATAAGATGAATAAGACATGGCCTCAGCTGGAAAGCTTGGAAGAAAATGTATGGAGATCCAGAAGAGCTAGTGTACTATGTATTTATTTATTTAGGTACTGGGGATTGAACCCAGGGGCTTTTAGTCACTGAGCACCACCCCCAGCCCTTTTTAAATTTTTTTTTTTGTAGTTGTAGATAGATAGAATGCCTTTATTTGTTTATTTTTATGTGCTGCTGAGGATCAAACCCAGCGCCTCATGCATGCTAGGCAAGCTCTCTGCCACTGAGCTACAGTCCCAGCCCACTGAGCCCCCTTTTTATTTTGAGACAGGGTCTCGATAAATTGCTTGAGGACCTTGCTAAGTTGCTGAGGCTGGCTTTGAACTTGCAATCCTCCTGCCTCAGCCTCTTGAGCCCCTGAGATTATAGGCTTGTGCCACTGTGCCTGGCAAGCTAGTGCATTTAAAAAGTGGTAAGTATTTTGGAGCAAGTGGGAGGGCAGCAGGAGGTGAAACTAAAGAGATAGCCAACATTGAACATAAATAACCTAAGCATTTCAAGTTTTGTTTTTGATTTTGTCTTTGTTTTTAATTGAGGTACTTCTCACGCATGCTGGGCAAGAAGTCTGCCACTGAGCCAGACCTCCAGTTCAGGATTTGGATTTCTATCTTGGTGATGACGGAGAGCAAATGCTGAAACTAAGGCAGAGGAGTAACCAGACTGAATTTGTGTTATGGGATTACCACTCTGGCTGCAGAGGTGGAGAAGACACAGCAGACAGTTAAGGCTAGGTGGGAGACTACCACAGTGGTCCAGATGAGAACTGTTAAGGCCTTACTTTTAGACGGTGACAATGGGGAGGAGAGGAGATGACAAATTCAAAAGCTGTGGAAACAGAATGGGAAGGAGTCTGTGAGGGACTGCATGGAAAGAAAATGCCAATTTCCCCTCTATACTAAAAGACACTTTGTGGCGGAGAATGAGGCCTATAGGAAGTGATTAATATGCACTTGTAAAGGCCAAAAAGATAAGAAAGGAGGAGGAAGTGGCATGCTCTTGGAGGCATGGCGGTTAAACATGCAGAGTCAGATAACCTAGGTTAAAATCACAACCCCACTACTTTCAGGCTGTGTGACTTTGGGGAAATGGCTTAATCTCACTGTTTCAATTTCCTCACTCATAACATAGGAATAATCTAGTTTGTGGGACTGATGTGCTGGCAAATGGATGCATGCCCATTCTACTCAATATTATCGTTTTGTTATCTGCAGGATTCTAACGTGTGTTTGCTATGATTCAGGATAAAAAAAAAAAAAAACTCCAATGACTCCAAATGTCTGCAACATTTAGTTTTAACCATCATGCAATACATAGTTCTCTATGCTTTGGTCCTTTTCTGTGACCTGTATCATACTGCCCTATCATCTCCCAGGTCTGGGTCTTACACCATTCCTATTTCCTATCCTGCCTTCCCCTGGTGTTTTAGTTAGCTTTTTCACTGATGTAACTAAAAGATCTGACCAAAACAGTTACAGAGGAGAAAAGGTTTGTTTAGGGGCTCATGGCTTCAGAGTTCTTAGTCCACAGAAGGCTGACTCCATTCCTTGGGGCTCGAGGTGAGGTAGAATATCATGGTGGGAGAATGTGGTGGAGGGAACTCATATCATGGTGATCAAGGAGCAGAGACTCCAAGCTCCAGATACAAAAAATACACCCCACAGCCACACCCCCACAGTGAGCCACTTCCTCCAGCCACAACCCCACCTACCTCCAGTTACCACTCAGTTAATCACATCAGGGATTAATTCACTGATTAGGTTAAGGCTATAGCCCAATCATTTTTCCTCCAATCCTCTTGTATTGTCTCATATGTGAGCTTTTGGGAGACACCTCCTATCCAAACCATAATACCTGCCTTAATCTCTGTACATCATAATCCTTTTCAAATACCACTTCTTCTGGAAAACATTACATTTAGAATCTCTGAAGCTTTTAAAAATCAAATTTCTCTGTATTTGCCTTAAGTCTCCTGGTTAGGACTGAATGGGCTTCTTGGCAGTGGCAACTCTCCCTTACTCATTTTCCCTATTTCCTATGGCACCTATCTTTGCTTTAGCAAGATTTAATACATCTTTGTTGAACTGAAGTTGGGACCTACAAGATGAAGCATTTATGAAATTGAGATTACTACCACTTACTTCACAGTTCACAGGGTGGTTGTGAGTGCTTGGCATATAAAAGTATCATCATTCACATCATCATTTCTAAGAAGAAAAAGTTTCACTTGTTCTTGGCCTACCATAATATAACCTGTCTCATTTTAATGAGTTGGAGGATAATGGCATTATTTTAGAATTCCTGGAAAATTGTCCACCAGAGTCAATACATAGGGAACCACAACTGTGGCCCACCAGGGATTCGTTCCTTAACAAATACTGGAGGCATTGCTTAAAGACTATGCATTTTTTTATTTTCAGTCTTGAAGGATTTGTGCTCAGCTCTTGATCTCTATAATCTTGGGAAATGAGGTGACTGGGAAGGATACAGCAATCACCTCCTCTCACCTTAGCCCATGCAAGCCAACTACTGATGAGGTTTGAAATAGAGCCCCAGCTGCAGGGAGCAGGACTGTGGGTGGTTTGGACTGGCTTCTCCAAAAGGACCAAGCAGGCAATTGTGACAGTCCTTGAGTTTTATTTTTATTTTTTAAATCTACTTTGAAGAATTTTGTGAGTCCCAAAGGAACTCTTTTATGTCATTTTTTTTCCTTTTTCTTTAGAATTTCCTCTAAAACCCATCAGGGAGATTTAACATATTCCAGATTTAGCACTTTAATGGGCTTTTGTTTCTGCCTTAATTTTTCCCCATTTTTAATTTTTCCTCTGATTTTTAATTAGCTATCTCTGGGATTACAGAGTTTGCAAACTCAACAGCAGAATTTCCGGAAAGTCTTTCATGTATGAGTTCATTATGGTAATACTGTGTACCCTGCCTCACTCAGAACATAAGTCTCAGTCTCTGAGGCTCATTCTGCACCAGCGGACTGTGTTCACCAGGATAAACCACTTAGGGGCACTGGCCTTTTAACAAAGGCGCAAAAAAACTTAGTTTCAGTTCATCTTTTTAGCATCATCTTGGTAATTTTTCTCTCTCTAGGAACCTCAGACAAGTCTAATCTGGAGCTGATCACTTTGACATGTACCTGTGTGGCTGCGACCCTCTTCTGGCTCTTGTTAACTCTCTTTATCCGAAAGCTGAAAAGGGTAAGAACATATCAGATGAAGTTCTCTGCTCCTTTTTACATAATATTCTAAACTGCCTGATCTGCTGTCTAGAACAAGTACTACACAATGTTAGACTCTCTTCTTTCCCTTCCTTCTAGTTCCTATCTCTGATATGATGAACACTGAAACAAGATAATGAAAATATCTTTAGACAGTGGTGTGTTCAAATGAAAGGCTAAAACAATGAACAGATAAATATTTCTCAGGAACAGAAGGATGTCTTTAATCTAAAAAGCTTGTAATTAAGTCTTCTTTGTTTTGTTTTTGGTGATGGGGACTTTGCACATGCTAAGCAGGCATTTGCACATGCTAAGCAGGCATTCTACAACTGATCTATACTCCCAGCCCTGTAATAGTGTCTCTAAGTTAAATTGAGCTTGGGTTCTGTAAATTCTTCATTGCCTTCATCTTACACTCTGCTAAAAAAATAAAAGTAAAATTAAAACCCACCTTTGATTTGGCTCTCATAACATCACAATAAGGACACTTTTGTTCCAATACCGTTTGGATCCCACCATAACATTGTGTCCAGTTGGAACTCAGAACATCAGAGTTCTACAATTAGACCTGCAATACAACCTGCTTCTCTATGATTCAGTGGGAAGACTAACATTCATGCCTCAGATATTCACTGTCACCTCGTTGGGTGCTAGTTCCAGGCTCTCTGCTACAGTGTGCAATCTGGGAGGAGACTGACTTGAATCAACCACACAAATTTCAAACTGCAACTCTTATGCTAGCGGAATGATGTCTAAGAGGGGCAGTCAGGCAAAGAATAGAGGGAAGAGTGTTGAAAACAGAGGGGAAAACACGTCTGAGGCTGGGGCAAGGGAAGGGAAAATAATGAGAATGAGACTAATAAGAGGTCCAGTAGGACTTCAGTGGTGAGAGCAAATAGCATAAGATATGAGGGTAAGCTGGCAAGGCCAGGACCGGGCCGCAAAGGCTGGTTAGGGAGGGACTTGTAGGCCATAGTAAGAAATCAAGTCTGTATTCTAAATGCTATGTCAAGGGCTGGGGTGGTGGCTCTGCAATAAAGCGATTGCCTACCGCGTGTGAAGCCCTGGGTTGAACCTCAGCACCACATATAAATAAATATAAATAAATTTTAAAAAGGTATTGTGTCCAATTATAACTAAAAAATATTTTTTTTTAAATAAGCTATCAAGCCTTGTGGATGGAGGGATGTTAGGCAAAGGTTGGGGATGGTAAGTGTGACAGATATACATCTAGAAAGATTATTTGGGCTTCAGTGGGGAGAATGGACCAAAGGAGCGAGAGTGAATAGAAAGGCACCCAGGAGAAGACTTACAATAAATAGTTAAAGTAAGAAATGATGGTAGGGATGACCAAATGATTAAAGTTGAGAAATATTTAGGAGGTAGAATGAATAGGACTCAAGAAGGGTCAAGGAAACCTTTCTAGAGATTAACCCTTATTAATGTGACAGGTCTCATGGGAAGCTGTTTATGTAGCATCTCAGTTAATCCTTTCCAAAATATTATTCTCATTTATAGATAGGAAACTGAGGCTCAGAAAGATAAGAAAACTGGTTTAAGTTACTATAATTAGAGCTTAGTTTTGAACACAGGCTCTTTGATATTCAAAACCCATAAGGCACACTTGATAACGTTGGTATGAGAGGCAAAGCTAGGCACCACCCTCATTGGTAAATGTGTAACATCAGGTTTTTGTTTGATTGGTTTTAAGACATGACAATTAAGGCCACTGCTTTTGAAGAAAACAAGGTCACACAATAGTTTTGAAAGGCGAGACATATCACATAGGGAAATACATCTAACAAAGGCAAAGCTTGCCAAGTCTGTAAGAGAGGTACAAAGCTATAGGAGTTCAAAGGAGGAGAGCCGGGAGAAAAGACCTCAGAGAAAGCGATGCTTGAAATGACTTTGAAGATTGTAGCTTGAAGGAAAGAAGCAGAAAAACAGCTGACTCCACCCCTTTCTTATTCCCCAGATTGGGGAAGTAGTCTGGTTATTCAGCATAAGGGAAGACAGAGGAAATACTACTAGAATAATAAATTTAGACCATATTACAGAGGTTCCTTCTATTTCTAAAATTCTGTGAAATTTTGATGATGGGAAGCAAAAGATCTTTATCCCCAAAACAGAATGCCTCTAAAATTTGTGGGAGGCGAAGAGAATAAGGCACCAAAAATATTTCCATGTGGTTTCTCTAACTGCAATATCAATTTCTCACCAATAAAAACTATACCTTATCTTATTATCCCCACTCTGCTATACCAGGGTTAAAATTGTAACTAACATTTATTAATGCTTACTATAAACTGGGTCCTGTTCTAACAACTATACATGGACTGTTTCATTTGATATTCACAACCCTGGGAGATCGGTACAATTATTTTCACTATTTTCCAGATAAAGAAACTAAGTAAGCTTAGAGAGGTTAAACAACTTGCCCAAGGTTATGTGACTGCTCAAAGGCTGAGCTGTGACTCAAACCCATGCAGTCAGCCTTCAAGCCAAGCACCTAGTGGCTGTTCAGTGTTACTGTCAATTGAGAGAATAAATATTTTGTCAACTAACATTTTACTATCATGCTGCCCTCAAAGCCCTTGCTTAACATCTGTGTGGTGTTTTGTCTCATCTGCCATATTGAGATAAACCATAAAATTCTGTAACTATCACATGGGAACACTATCTCCAGTTGCCCAATTCTCAGCCCCTGTCAACATTACTGCCAATGCTTCCACACTTCCTACATAAACCCAATATGCCCCGTGCCAGGTTCCAGCTATCCTATTCTCTTTGAAGGCTGGAGACTGTTTTTCATAGCCTTGGCTATATTGAACATAAAAGCTAATCCAGTAACTTCTCTCATGAGCACCCAGCACCCTGAACTAAAATTTATACTGATCTATAGGCTTTCAGATTGATAAACCTTTACAGTCTAACACCAATGACAAATGCTATTAGTGACAAATGTGCTCTATATCTTTGATTTCTACTATTTATGGAGGCCAGGCAAACCTTTCTGCCTTGAACTATTTGTCACACATTTTCGTGATAATTGTTGTTAGAAGGAAAACGACTCCAAGTGATGGATTAGGTGAGCTGTAATGGCCCAGATCAGTGTGAGTAAGGACTGAAGAATGTAGTGGGTGTGAAATGGTATGTACAGAAGGGCTATCTTCTTCACTCCACCTCTGATTCCAGTTGGGGAAAAGTCTGGAAAGCAGGGCCCCAAACCTCATTTAAATGAAATTTACATAACTTTTAGGCAAGAGTTATATGTGAAAGCCTGCTTCTTTCTGTCCTGCCCAAGAGCCTGCCCACAGAAATGCAAATATCGATTCTGCCACTTTTCCCATTAACAGGAAATATACACATCGACATAAATCTGACATTAAATGTAAGTCCAATTACCTATGGTCTGACATATAGGGTACTTTCTGAGCTTGATATGCATTACCAAGAAAGCAAGCACCTCATGGCAGATGCCTGTCTTAGATACTTGCTATCCTACCAAAAGCCAAATTAACTCAGAATGTGGTTGTGTTTAATGTGGTTGTGTTTTACCCCTTGACCTTTGAAATAATCAACTTCTATTTCTTACCAAAGGTTAGTCTTATTGTAATCTCACCAATGGATTGTATAGTGTTTTCCAGTAGCTGAATCAACTAAGAAGTCCAGTCTACTGAGGGTTTAAACACTTCATAAGCTATGTGCTTTCACTACCCCACAGATCCTGCATTTACTTACCACTCTGGCCTTTCTTGTAAATGCAGAAAAGTCACAGTTCACCTTACTACTGGCCTATCTGTAATGTACATTCAGCTTGTACAGAATAGCCACAGAAAACTATTTTTAGTCATTGTTTGGGATGATTTTATAACAATAGCTTTGCATTTTTTAGAAAAACTACCACATAATTGTCTCAGAGCAAGCATGACATATAAGGTCACTAGAAAATTTGAGTATATTTTATACAAGATAGGATGGTAGAGCTAGTACTGCAGAAATGCTCATGAGAATAGTAAGGAGTTGTTTTGTGGAGACTGCACACTTTGGGGAGAGGGGTACTCTCTGGACCTGACCACATAGTTCCAACCAAATAACCCAAAGCAGCAGAAATATTATCTTCCATTTAAAATCTGAGGTTTTTCAAATTGTTTTCTTCTTGGTAACTTTGAGGTCTTCTTATTTTTCAGTCGTCTTCCCAAATAAAAACTGACTATCTATCAATTATAATGGACCCAGATGAAGTTCCCCTGGATGAGCAGTGTGAGCGGCTCCCCTACGATGCCAGCAAGTGGGAGTTTGCCCGGGAGAGACTTAAATTGGGTAATATACTTGTTCAACAGCCTCATGAACCTATCTGAGCCCCTACTTCATGCAGAACATTGTGCTTTGAGGGATGCAAAAGTAAATAAGTTGTGGGATTCTACCCTCCAGCTGTCCACAAACTAGCATGGGAGATGTACACAGAGGTCAAAAATCCTAATGGAATGCTGAGACAACAGTACAAGATGATAAGGGAGCACCTGTGTGTTCATTCAGTATTTCTTAAGCCCCATCTCTGAGCAGCAGATGCTAGTCTAAGCCCTGAGAATACAAAGGTATTTGGGTTTGGGTCTCCTCCCTCAAAGGGCTGGTATGGAGATAGATGCAAAATAGGTAAGTGAAGGGAAAGGGGGAAAGAGGAGCTCTCATGGGAGGCTTATAATTGCCAGCACTCTTAAGTAGAAACTATTGGGAAGTTAGCCACGTGAGTCCCAGAACATAATTCAGGATGGCAAGTAACAGTGAAATTAAACATTTGGTGAAAGAGTTGGTACTCTTCAAGGATGTGGCTCAAAACTTCTCTGCGCAAATTCCCAAATTATAACCTTGGAGTTTCCGGGAGTGTTGGGAACGTCCAGACAGAGTAGAAAGCCCTAGGGGATCATTTAAGTTTCATTTTTGAAGAGCACAAACTTGTTTTCCAGGTAGGGCAGATGCTGTAAACAGCAGACAAATGTGATTTCCCTCAGCTTACCCCTAGTTCCTCCAACTCAGACGTCACAATGCACATTAATCTCCAACCCATGGTGCTACAAAACAATTGGAACCTCAATCACTCCTACCCAAAATGTTTGGACTGTGGCTTCTGAAAGTTTTCCACTTACTCCTGTGTATGCCAGAGTCATTAGTGGTTGGAACTAGGAAAACAGATTGTGAGTTCAGTGTTCCTGGAGTTTGTCACTCTCAGTGTGAAGAGCCCCTATTCCAAATCCAATGACTTGACCCCTCTCCCAAGCTATACTGGGGGCATGGATGGACAGAGATGAGGGTAAAGTGGCTAGTCTTCCTTTTCTGTAGGGTCTTGAAATGTTCTGCTTGGTTTAAGAAAGGACAGCATCAGGTTAGGTTCTGTTTGGCTTGGGGGAAAAGTTTGAGAGACAGGAGAAAAGTCAGCAATGGCTACTGACAGGAAAAAAAAAAAAAAAGCAATGAACTAAATTAAGTTAAGGGCAGGTGGCACACTGGATGAGTGCCTTTTGCAAGTCTAAATTACATGGCAGCTAGCCCAGCCCCTCAGTAACCTTGGCAGAGAACATCAGATCATTTTCCCACAAGCATGAGCCTCACTGCTTTCCAGAGTTACTAGTCACAAATATGCTTCTTCCAGGACAGGACACATGAGTTTTCCCTCCCGGCCCTTCATTCCTCCCTGGTATCACTGTGATCCATTGAGGGAGATTGTTAACCCTTCTCCTAGAATTCTCCTGGGGGAATAATCCCATTTCAGGCATTTTTTTTCCTTATTGAAAATCTTTCTTATCATTCTTTTCCTTTCTGGATTTGCCACATGCTATGATCTGGCTGGTTTCCATTTAACTGTCTTTAATGGGTAGGAGAAAGAATGTCAAGTCTAACTTTGTCTTTTAATGCATAGTGTGGCTGCAAGTTTACAGGAATGTTCCTCTGATTAACGTGGGAGCAAGGAGGCCCAAGACTTCTTTGTTTTGTAAGCCAAATAAGTGACAGAAAGTAATATGAAGTAACGTCTGGCAAGTGAAAGTAACCAAGATTATATCCAGATCGATGAAAAGAAAAGCTGCTTTGACGGGCAGAGTTACACTGGGACTGGAACTATAGAGAAAAATATAGACCAAGGAATGATTTCAGCTGTACCTGCTCTGTTGGTCACTATGAACAGCCTGGTGAGGGAAGGCAAAATTTATGGTAACTGATCGATGGATTCAGTTGGAGCCTGGGTCAAAGGTGCTGCTACCATTGAAACTCCTAAAACCCAAGAACAAAAAGAATCCAGCACCCCCCTCACTTTTTTTCATGATTTCTCATTAACCCTGGGAAAGAATTCAGCACCTCTAAATTTATCACAGAAATTAGGATAATGTCTGACATTGCATCTTTCTATTGGAAAATAATTTAAAGGCAGAATTACCTAATATGGGAAACCACACAGGGAGTCTCTGGGATTTGGCAAGTACACAGTGCCTGGACTGGTGTTGCATCTTTTGAGACCAACCCTCCCTGAATGCCAGAAAGGGGCCCAATTCTTGCTGTCCTGTACTCTCCCCAGAGTGGCCAGGAGTCCTGGATAGTCCAGGACATTCTTGGAGAAAATTCCAGTATTCTTGCATAGTATGACAATGACCTAACACATTTCTGAGCTAGTCTGTAGCATTCCAGGCACTACACTAAGGAGAATTTCAAGGGAAAGGGATGGAGAAAGGTCAAGTCCAGTGCAACTGTGCTCCCTGAAACTGGAACCATGGGTCTGCAAAAGAATTCCAACACATCAGATGATTAAAGAGTCCATAATAGCTTCATGCTGTTTTATGAGGCAGCAATCAACTTCCAAGAGTATAAGTGAAAAGACTGAGAGAAGCCAAGTGAGAACCAATGTATTCTCACTGACAGACGCAAAGCCCCCAAACACTTGTTAAAACAAAGTGTGTTATGATGGCTGAGAAGGGAATGCATGGGGGCGGAAGTTGTAGAAAGAGAAAGGATTCCATGTGCCCAGAACAGGCAAGGGTCTTAGAAGTGTGTGGAGAGACTATCACAACACTTTTCCTACTAGATGATGGAAGGCACACTGTGGAAGGAAAACACTGTTTTTTAACCCTAAATAAAGCAGATAATAAACCTCCAACTGAAATATAATTTTACCAATCTGGGAAAGACGTAATTTCCAAGTGCAGCACTTTCATGGTACACTGGATGCTTTTGTATTCAAACACAGGGTACCCGTTCTATTTCTTGGATAATTTTACATGAAGAAAAAACCAGAGACTGTATCTTTGCCCATGTTGCATGCTCTGGGAGGAATGGTATTCAGTAGTCACCACAGATGAACATCTGACCACAGGAAAAACATGTCATCTCACTACTGTTCCCCTCCTAAAGCAGAGCATGTCGCTCTGAGACAGAGAGAGACATCCACACAGAGGCACTTGTGATTATGCTGGTAACTGAAACTTTCCCATGTCCTAACTGGATGCCTGGGATGGGGGCAGTAGAAGAGAGAAAGCAGAGGCAAGATGAAGACATTTTTGTCACAGAGAACTGTAACGATTCTAATACAATGAGGAAGTAGGAAAGCTTTATTACAAACCTTACAAGAAATTTAAAAATATACAAATGTATGTATGTGTATGTAAATGTGTGTGAATATGTGTGCATCAATCTCCTGGTCTCCATCCCACAGCCCCCTCTTGTTACCTATGACTGTATGAGGCCTGCCTTACATAGCCCATGAATTTCTGAATTCTCTCCATTCTGCATCATCTGTACAAGGGACCTGCTCTACACCTGGCACTGGGTGAAGTACAGGAAAGGTTCAGACAGCATCCTTGCCCATCTGAGTCAACTTGGCTCACTGAAGGGTGGGGAAAGAAGCATATTAACAGTCATTATAGCATAAATAATGGGCACACAAAAGAAATCTTGCTTGGTTATTGAATCTGGTAACCATCTTTCTGGGAGTGAAACAAATTTCTATCATGTGTCTAGCATGAGGACTTGTAATGATCATATAATAATTGCCAGGGATTATTCTGTCTGGCAAGGATGTCTAAAAAATGACTTAGTATTTATTTTTTAAGTTATGAAGCATCATTATAACCCATGGCTACAACTACCATTCTTGATTTCTCCTTTTTTTGCTGAGAACAGAAGAATGACCTTAAGTGATAAGAAACAGGGGTTAGGTTAAACATACAGAAGTTTTTTTTGGTGATGTTACTTAACAATGGAAGAGACCACTCAGGATTTGGTAGTGTCTCCTCTCTTGGAGGACTCTATGAAAAGGAAAATATTTACCTTCACTAAATACCTACCTTAGCTCTGAAGGATGCAGGAGCCTCAGAAGCAGAGGAAAAGAGCTAAGAGGAAGAAACCCCAGAAACATGTTCCTGATTATGTCTCCTTTAGGGTTAGTTCACTGGAGATTCATCCAAAGCTATAGCCTCACAGAACACAAAGGAAAAAGCACTTCCTTCCTGAAAAACACTTAAACTCACCTTGCTGGCTTGGCAATAAACCAATGTCTTCTTTTCACTGTAGGCAAATCGCTTGGAAGAGGGGCTTTTGGGAAAGTGGTTCAAGCGTCTGCATTTGGCATTAAGAAATCACCCACCTGCCGGACTGTGGCTGTGAAGATGCTGAAAGGTGTGTGTGCTGTCGTTTGGCTTTTGTCTGACTCATAATCTTTACACATTCCCCAACTTTTGGTGCAAGTTGAATATAGGAATAAACACAGCTATTTCTACTCTGGCAATATCACTTTCTTCTACAGCTCCCTTTGTTCAAGGAGTTTTATTTTTTAATTTGTACTTGTTCTTTTTAGATTACATGACAAGAGAGTGTATTTTGACATATTATACATACATGTAGTATAACTTATTCTAATTAGGATTCCATTCTTGTGGTTGTACACAATACAGAGTTTCACTGGTTGTGTATTCATGTATTAACATAGGAAAGCTATGTCTGATTCATTCTACTGTCTTTCCTATTCTCATCTTCCCTCCCTTCCCTTCATTCCCCTTTGTCTAATCTAATAAACTTCTTCCCTCCCCCACCCCAAGGTGTTTTAGATTATGCTCACACTAGCTCAGAATAAACCTTGTCAGTGCTAACAATCCAGAACTGTCCATGGGAAAATGATCTCTGTCACCTTAAGATCTCTCTCTTCTCACATTTCAGACTAGACTAATAAGGACATACGCCCATTGTAACCATAGGTTCAAAGTGTTGACATGATCCACTATGACTGTAATGGAAACTTAGCTACACATCACAAATCCCAAAGGCTTAGCTTGAACTTGCCCTAACTATAAAGTGAAACTAGAATGCTAGAACAACTTAACTGATCAGAACTGTAAACTAATTTATACTGCCAAGCCCTACCAAAAAAAAAAAAAAACATTTTTTCTTTAGAAATTAAATTTAAAAAGTCAAAGTATATCTAATGTTGAAAAATACATGATTCAAAAAAAAAAAAAAGACAGGATTGAAAACTCAAAGGGCAGTCTTTAGCTTTCCAAAGTCTCCAAGATTTTGCCAGGATATTCTGAGGCACCGGAAGCAGTGGGACTAAGTAGGTACTTAGCATGAGCTTGAGGAGAGAAGGTTCAGTGCTTAGGGAGACTTCCAAGGTCTTACTCCTAATCCACCACTGCCACCATTACTTCAGAAGCCACCTCAGAAGGCTGTCCTCATCAGAGGAAAATTGATGAAACTCTATGAAACAAGGAGAGACCAAGTTTGGACAATAGGTACCAAAACTGATAGAAATAGTAAGTTCCAGTATTCTACAGCACAGAAAGGCAATTATAGTTCACAACAACTTATTATATATTTTATAAAGAAATAAAAGAGATGGGCTGGGTTGTGGCTCAGTGGTAGAAAGCTTGCCTTGCACATGTGAGGCCCTGGGTTCAAACCTCAGCACCACATAAAATAAATGAATAAAATAAAGCTTTTGTGTACATGTACAACTAAATATATTTTTTAAAAAAGGAAATAGAAGAGAGGAGTTCAGAGGTCCCCAACACAAAAGAAATCATAAATGTTTAGGGAGATAGAATGCTATTTACCCTGATTTGATTACTACACATTGTAAACATATATCAAATTATCACATTGTATTATTATGTGTGCTCCTCAAAAAATTGCTACAAAGAACCCGACAGCTCTAATTTGGAGTTTCGTATCCACAATCAGGACTTTTGTTCGGGGTGGACTACCCAGATGATTACAGGCATTTCTGTGAGAATATCAGTGCCAGCATGCTCCCCCAACCCCAGCTGCTGAGGAGAAGTAGCATCAATGTGTCTATGTGAGAAGTAATACACTAAACACTCTGTTAGGTTGAATCACACAAAATTTCTATTTTTCTTATTTTCTCTCACCAATCTTCTGAGGTAGATATTATTATTCCAAGTTGGTAGATGAGGCAACATGGTCCAGAAAGATTGGACAGCCTCTGCAAGGCAGCATAGCCCTTAGGGCAGAAACAATAAGGTCTGCACCAGCATTGACTGAATTGCTCTTTCCCTCACAACACAGTGCCACAAGAGCAGAGAACAGAGACCTAGCCTCCTGGAAATTGGCCCATTGCTCCCAAATCCTTCAAATGATCCCTGTTCCATTTCCCTGCTTACTTTCTCATATCACATCTAGGAGGCATGTCTAATGTCCACACTATTCTATCACACATCCAAGATCACACCTGTGGTCCTGCCTAGAAATGGAACCATCTGAGCAGTGGTTCTCACAGTATGGTCCTGGATAGCTATGTCAGCATTTCTGAGAAATATATCAGAAATGTGAATTCTCAGGATTGATGAGTTGGAAGGGAAAAGATTCTGACTTGAGATCTCTTTTAAAGACTCAGAGAATCTATTCTGTCATACAGAAATCATATATGTATGGGGCTGGGGTTGTGGCTCAGTGGTAGAGCACTTGCCTAGCGTATGTGAGACACTGAGTTCAATTCTCAACACTGCATATAAAATAAATAAAGATCCATCAACAACTTAAAAAAGAAATCATGTATGTAATCTTTAATATACCTTCCCTCCTACTTTTTTTTGATTGAAAAACATTTCCAAATCACCCACCCTATAAAATTCCTAAAAATTTTTTTTTCATTAGCTTTCTTGCCTAATTGGTTGGCCATCTGTTTGGGGGAAAAATAGAAAAAGCAGAATGCCAAACAAAGGCCATTAGTAAAAAGCTCTTTCCAAGTGTCCCTGAATAAAACCTTAACGTATTAGGACCTTACATCCATGTCTGAAATGAGAAATCATGTTGTGTATTTATCCAAAAATATTTGTTGAGCATCTACTGTGAACCAACCCCTACCCCAGTGGGAGGCTTCTGGAGTTTATCTAGTTATTATTAAAAAATGATTTGTGCTTATGAAATACCACATCAGTATCTTCCATAATGCTCAGTATACACACCACCTTCAGCACTGTGACAGAAATACTTACACATGGATATAGAGTTTCTATTATAGCATTATTTGTAAAAGCAAGAACCTGTAGATGGATGACACACAGGCTTTCAATTACAGCAATATTTGTAACACCAAAAACACATAGACAGTTTAAATGCAGGAACATTGTTAACTGATTAAAAGGAATTTTTTTTTTAAAAAAAGCGACTGGCCCAGCCTTGACAAACACAGAATAGAAATAATCTCTGATATATTAAAAAGAGGAGGAAAAAAATTAAATATATATGATCCAATTTATGTAAACCCTCAAAAAAATGAGATTTCATTGGGGTATATATAAGCACATAGGAAAAGATCTGAACTCAAATTATCAGCAGTAGCTACTTTTAGGAAGGTAAGTAGGCTGGAGTGACTTGTTCTTTTTACTTTAGATCCTTTTACTCCTTATATTTTTGTTTTGTTTTTTCTTTGGGGGTTTTGTTGTTGTTGCTGGGGTTTGTTTTGTTTTGGTGCTGGGGATCAAACCCAAGGCCCCATGCTCTACCATCGAGCTTCCTCATATCTTTTTACTCCGATTCATATTATTGGACTATTTCATTGCCACAATACTTTAATATTCCGAAAAATAATTTTAGAATATTGAATGCCATAGAAATTAACCAATGAGAATAAACAGAAGAAACGAAATTTAGGCTTTAGACTGCTAATTCTCGGACTGATGTTGCTTATCTCTGAGTGAGAATGAACTTAGTCTAATGCTATGTATCCCCACAACCTAAGATAACTCTGTGAACTCCAAGTATGAAAGAATATAGGAAGAAAATAACACACTGCAAAGATGTTTGCAGAAGCAGCCATCCTGCCCTTGTCAGGCCCCTGGTGCTCCTCTGTGACTCCCCTGAGGACACAGTGAGACAAAAAGGGGAGGTGTGGATACATCCCCTGCCTAGAGGGTTCTCACTGCACCTGTTTCTGCTAGAAGAGATGCCTTTGGAAGGTACTTTCATGAAGTACCCAGCTTTTGTGTCAGCACACTGCTAAACACACTAGGTCCACCAAGAGGAAATGTCCAGTGACTAACCCCACCACAGCACTAGGCCTCACTGTAATCAAAAGGATGTTGGCTCAGGAGGGTGGGAGTAATAAAAACAGTTCGGAGACTTAGCCTTTCTGCAGAATGTAGTAGGGAAGTTAATGAAGTGACTGGCCCAGCCTTAACAAACACAGAAGGCAGGAATGCCGCCACCAGCGGAAGGAGCCCCATTGTCTTCTTGCCCTGACTCTTCCTTGCTTCTCACACAGAGGGGGCCACAGCCAGTGAATACAAAGCTCTGATGACTGAGCTCAAGATCTTGACCCACATTGGCCACCATCTGAACGTGGTTAACCTGCTGGGAGCCTGCACCAAGCAAGGAGGTAAAGGAGAAGTGGGGTGGGTGCTGATCCATCATTTCCCATACACAAGAACTCTCACACACAGCTTCTCCCTCACCTCCAGGAAAATGGCTTCTCAATAGATCCAGAAAAAATAGTCTATCCATTTATGGAAGGGTACTCCCATGCTAGAAATGCTTTCCCAGTACAGTTAATCCAAAATTTGGAAGAGGACCTCCTTTTAGATCTCCTTCAAGAGGGTCTAGGTCAAGTGGAAGGCATTTTTATTTCAGGATGACTAAGGTAAAGGTGTAAAAGAATGAATCACTACTGGTGGGATACCAGGAGGAAATAATGTGGGAGACAAACAAAAGGGCCCTTCCCTTCAGACCCACCATGCAGATAAACTTTATATCCTGAACCAAGGGACAGGAATAGGGTTGTGCCTTTTGACTGAGGGCTCCAGAAAGTTCCTGGAGACCTTTCTTTCCTCCTCGATGGCAAGGTCAATGGTTGGGTGTAGATGTGGACTCACTGCCAGAAAGAAAGGTGCAAAAAAAAAAAAAAAACTGTGCATACAAATGTTCTCCATGTTCCCAGTGCAGGAACTGGGGGGAAGGTGCATTGGGGAAGACGGTCTGTTAGGAGTGGTAATGGGTAGAAAGAGGAGTTGAGGGATGGAGAGGCCAGAAATACAGTCCTAGTCCCACCTGCTTCTTCATTATCCTTGATAAGCTTTTCTCCAGTTCCTGCTGCGGCAACCTCATTGTAGTTGCCTTGGCTTTGCACCTATAAAATGCATCAGGGCTAAGGAGACCACTCACCTCCTCGAAGGCTTCTGAGCCCTGGGCAGTTAGCCGTCAGTAATGCAAGCACCTACCGGGGCAAGAGAATTGCTGGACCCCTGAGACGAGATTTGCCGAGTCTTTTTTCTGGGTGGGGAGATGCACAGCTCTACAGGGACTTCCGCTCTGGTACCCTGAGGGAAGAGGAGGTGTTGTGAGGATTCCTAACAGACATTTTAAAACCAGAAAAGTCCTGATAGTAACAGAAAACTACTCTACCCGTATGAGCTCTGTCCTCGGACGCCTCGAAGTGGTAGAGCGTCTGGGCCTCCGCGGGGCCTGCTGGCTACCAGCACGCAGCCAGCCCGCTGAAGCAGCTCTCGGTCACTTCCGGTTAGACCCGGAAGTAATCCTTGTGCTGCGGGGGAGCCTGGAGCAGGCAAGAGCGGGCCTTCAAGCCACCACGTGGGACTCACGGGGCAGCTGGCTCCCTTCCCAACAGCTTGCTTCATTAGGCCAGTGGGCAAGCTATGGCCAGACAGACAGAATGTTTTGAGTTTTTTAAGTAGTTGGGGCAAAAAAAAAAAAAGGTTGAAAAGGATGGTATTCTGTGACGTGGAAATATATGAAATTCAAACTTATATGTTCATAAAGTTTTATTGGAGAAAAGTCGTACTCCTTGAGTGTATTAACAAAAGCTGATTCCAGGTTACAAGGGTACAATTGAGGAGTTGGTTGGCCTGAGAAGTCTAAAATATTAACTATCTGGTACTTTACTTTGGCCTGCAAAGTCTAAAATATTAACTATCTGGTACTTATCATCCTCTGCTTTACTGCCTCACAAGTCCCTAGGCAAACTCAGTGTAGACCACACACCAGACACCAATACTGGGAACAGACAGAACAGGTAGCCTATTTTCTGCCCTGGGAAGGAAAAAGAAACTGCTGAATGGTTCTGGGGCTGGTGTGACAGTAACCAGAGCCCCTCTTGCCAGGGTCTGGCTAATGGGTAGAGGGTGCCTGGCATTTGCCTCTCTTCTTTGTTCCTTTCTTTTTCTGCTTTCCCTTCCTGCTCCTCCTCACACCTACCCTCATTTTTTATTGTATTTTTGAAAACCTTCTCAGGTTAAATTGCAGAAGTCACAGTGCTCATTCACAGCCTCTCATCCCTAAGTTGCATTCCTAGATCCACTAATAAAAGACAGGTTGGTTTGTGGTTTCTCAGTCCAACTGAAGGCTGACTAATGGCTGATTGACTTGGTGTGACTGAGCATGTGCTATTTTGGCTGCAGGGCCTCTGATGGTTATTGTTGAATACTGCAAATATGGAAATTTATCCAACTACCTCAAGAGCAAACGTGACTTATTCTTTCTCAACAAGGTAAGGATTTTAAAAGTGGAATTCTTTTTAAGGAAAGCAATGGGTTACCATTTAGGCTGTGGCAGCATAAAGCAGGAGAAATCTAGTTTGTTTCATTAATGAAATTAATTAAAACTCAATTTCTGCTCTTCTTTTTCTACATATTCCTTTCATGCTAATCTGTTATACTCTCTTATAGAGAGTGCAGACTATCATTTAATACCAGTGTATGCAGCAATAATTGGAAGTTACATGTACTAGCCATCTACCTAAATTCCTATTGAATATCTCGATAATTTTCTCTAAAACACACACACATGAAACACACTTACATACAAACACACACATGCACAAATTACCTAGGTTTTTTTTTTGAAAATGATCAAATATAGTTGCCTTCATTTATTAGAAATTAAAATACAATCACCTAAGAGACTTGTTTAGTCACCAGTAATGGGACCAGAGATTGAAATCATTCTGTTTACTTTCTACAGCTCTTCCTCCTACCTCTGACACTGTTACCACTCATGGCATCCCTAACTGACTCTGAATCAGACCTATCCATGAAATAAATACATAGGCCCAGTGACATGCACCTGTAATTTCAGCAACTCTGGAGGCTGAGGCAAGAGTATCACAAGTTCCAGGCCAGCCTGGGCAACTCAGTGAAACCCTGCCTCAAAATAAAAAGTAAAAAGGCTGGGGATGTGTCCCAGTGATAGAACACTTGCATAGAATATGCAGGTCCTACATTTAATCCTTAGCACTAAAAAAAAAAAAAAAAAAAACCTGAGTTCTGAGAGCAAGCAAGATTAAGAAATTACTGACTGAAAAAAAAACAACTTACTAAAACTTTGCAGTGTGTTAAATGGCACTAGTGCTGTGTCCTTCTGTAGACTAGATAAGCCAGGGGACAATAATTCAAAATTATTTACTAGTAATCATCAACAATAATGATAAAAACTTGTAGTGTTGAAGTTAAGCACTTGGACACCAGAATCAGACTTTCTGGATTTAAATTCTGTGCCTTCCTCTCACGAAATCTGGAAACTTGAGCAGATTACTCAATTTAACTAAGGAACTAACAGTTGAACCCAACTGATGGGATCGTTGGGAGAATGAAAATCTCTCCGTTAAGAACTCAAATAAATTTTAATAGTCATCATTGCCCCAAGGATCGAAAGATTGAGCACTAGGGGTGTGGCTCAGAGGTGGTATGTTTATCTAGTATTTGTGAGGCTCTGAGTTAAATCCCCAATACTTCGGGGGTGGGGTGCAGAGAAAGATTGGTTGTGTCCAACTTAATGCCACCGATCTATATGTGGATAAAATATCAGACATCTAAGGATGATGCCCTTTTCTGTCATATGTGCAAGTCTTCACACACATATAAGAATCACTGGACACAGCCAGGAGCAGTGGTGTATCCCTAGAGTCCCAGCTGCTTGGGATCTGAAGTAGGAGAAGCACTTAATCTTAGATGAATACAAACCTGGGAAACATAGTGAAACCCTGTCTCAAAGAAAAAACAAAACAAAAAAAAAAACTAACCAACCAATCACTGGACAGCTGACCCATATACTCATCCCCCAAGCTTTGATCAAAACAAAGACACAGGTGTTCTACCAAACTGGCAATATGTATGCAAAAATATATTTTCCTTGGTTTTAAGCCAGACTCTAATTGGAATCTTGAAGCTGAAAGGGATCCTTGTGATCAGCTAGTTCACACTCTCTCTTTTATATATATATATATATATATATATATATATATATATATATATATATATATATGTTTATTTTTTTGTAGTTGTAGTTGGACACAATAACTTCATTTATTTATTTATTTATTTATTTTTATGTGGTGCTGAAGATCAAACCCAGGGCTTTGCACATGCAAGGCGAGCACTCTACCGCTGAGACATAACCCCAGCCCCTAGTTCACAAATATAGAGGTACTCAAAGAACTCACATGACACATAACTACCACAAAATGAAGTCAGGGAGAGAAAGACTGAGCTCTCTTGATTCCCATTCTAGGGTTTTTCCTGTGCACCACACTGGATAAGGTGGAAAAAAGAAAATGTGGACAGTGGTGCCCTGTACTGAGAACAGTGCAAATTCCTTTCAGTCCTGAAAGCCCTGGACTGGGTTCAGGAAGAGCTAAGGCAGCAGAACACCCAAGGGACCTGGGCAGGATGGAACGTTTGGGTTCGTGCGTCCTTTGTTTTGAAGAGTTTGCTTCCTTCTCTGGCTATATTTAATGATTTGCCTCCCTGTGCAACTTGGTGGAGCTGTGTTTTTGTGGAAAACCCACTGCTATCTTTCACATTTAGAAGCTAAAGGAATATAAAGAGAAAGTGAAGAAAAAACAAAACCAATGACTAAATTGAAAATAGAATATATTATTTTCTAAATTCACTAAGATCCTTAAATATTATTTGGGATAAATTTGCTATTCTGCCAGAGTTCAAAAGTTAAGTAAATTAACCTTTCTTTAACAGAGATGGTTACTGATAGACAGTGGTGAATATACCATAGATTGGGGGTCAGGAAGGGAGCAGTGAGCTTGGTGGCATGTCCTAGGAAGTGACTTCTGGTGGTTGTGATAAAGAAGGCTGCCCAGAGAGTTTACATAGAAGCTGATTCCTGAGTGATCTCTGGTAGTATTTTTCTACCACAACATTGCCAACAAGTTTCCTGCTGCCTTCTGTTGTGGGAAGGGTCTGTGGAAAACACAATTCCAGTTCCTAGCTGAGCAGAGCCAGATCTCACTGCCTCATGAAGACACAAAAACAAATAATTATATTTTTATCTGCCTTCAGGAAAATGTGGTGCCCTGGGCTCAAAGCAGAGCAAATTCCCTTCAGTCCTGAAATCTTGGACTGGATTCAGAAAGAGCTAAGCCAGGAAAACCCCCTTGCAGGGTGGAGGGGTCCAGTGGTGGTGGGTAGGTAGATATTCTTTCTAAGGTCTGCCTCCCTCCTGCAACACAGGAAGGGCTCCTGTTCAGGGGCCAGGAACCTTGGTACCCTTTACACTTAACAAGGTTTGTTAGAGCTGTCCCACCCAAACCTCCCTCTCTCTGTCCTCTGCTTGCTCTCATTGTGCCCTCTGGTGGAAGGATCACTCCTTTTTTGTGACATTTCTAGAAAAACCAAGGGAGTGTGGCTAATCCTAGCATTACTTGTGTGCAGGTGGATCGAGGAACACCAGTGAACTTCAGTCCCTCCCAACCCCTATTTCAGTATTTCCATCTAGCATAAACCAGGCTATGTACATGATGTAGTCCTAAAGCCACTGGACCTGCAAGTTTCTAGTGTCAGAGTTTCTAGATGAATGTCTTGTTCCACATGAACACTCAGGACCTACATCTCCTTTCCTGAGCCATAGTAGGGTGATAGAATTTTTCTAATGAGGAAGATGAAACCTAGAAAAGTAAGCTGACTTTCCCAAGATCACATGATTAATGGAAAAGCTAGCATCCAAACCAGGACTTGGATGCCCCATCCAGGATGAAGGGCCATGTCTAACTCATTTTAGGATAGACCTTTATCTTTGTTTTAAATGGAAAACAAAATTAAGGTTCATGTTCTTTCTTTTCCCAAGGGAATCAGAGAAATTGGAAACTACAGCCTTCTCTTTATAACTTCTCTTGGGGATTACAAAGTGAAGCCTCCAGTACATTGAAGATCCTTTTCATATCATCTGAATGATGATAGAAGTATCAAAGTTTCATCTCTTTCACAAGATGGCATGTGCTATATAGAAAAGTTGCTAAGGGCACAGACTCAGGAGCAGGCCAAACCTGGGTTCAGATGTTGCCATTTGCCTATTGTATGTGCCTTTGATTACTAAACTTCTCTGAACCTGTTTCTCCACTTTAGTAAAACTACTTCATAAAGTTATTTGGAATATTAAATAAGAAAACATATACCCGTGGGCTGGGGTTGTGGCTTAGCAGTAGAACACTCGCCTAGCACATGCAAGGCCCTGGGTTCAATCCTCAGCACCACATAAAAATAAATAAATAAAATAAAGGTATTGTGTCCAACTATAACTAAAAAATAAATATTAAAAAAAAAGGTAAACTGGCTAATACAATAAGCATTCAGTGCATACCAGCTGCTATTAATTGTCTTTTTTGGGGGTTGGGTGGGTACTGGGGATTGAACTCAGGGGCACTTGACCACTGAGCCACATCCCCAGCCCTATTTTGTATCTAAATAAGACAGGATCTCACTGAGTTGTTAGCACCTTACTTTTGCTGAGGCTGGCTTTGCTCAGCCTCCTGAGCTGCTGGGATCACAGGCATACACCACCGTGCCCCCCTCCTATTAATCTTCTTTTATCTGGCCTAAGATGCTATCTAGAAGCTCAGACAAGGGTGAGCAGATCCCACAACTCCAGCAGTAGCCAAGGCACCTGCCACCATCAATCCATCACTGCTAATTCAGTATCTATCTTGTGGAATGACATTTTCCAACTCAGGTGATTGCCTGCTAGAAGGACTAGTGTCCCCATTGCTGTGCTGGGGCTCCTTTCACTGGTGTTCTTCTTCATCTGTTCTAAGGATGCAGCGTTGCACGTGGAGCCTAAGAAAGAAAAAATGGAACCAGGCATGGAGCAGGACAAGAAACCCAGACTAGATAGTGTCACCAGCAGTGAGAGCTTTGCGAGCTCTGGATTTCAGGAAGATAAAAGTCTGAGTGATGTTGAGGAAGAGGAGGGTAGGTATTCATTCCTTCCTGTCCTACAGTCTGAGATATTTTTACAACATACTGTGCATCTCTGACATTTTTTTCTTATTTATCACCCTAATAAACATCCGTGGGAGACTTGAAGGGTAATGTCCTGAGGAGATAAGATTTGAATTAAGATTATTTACAGAGTTACTAATTTTGACAGAGAACTGTGTGATTGTCTCCCCTCAGGCGTTTGGCCGGGTCATACCCCTCCCCCATGCTTGGATCCATGGGCTGGAGGCCTGGAAAAATCTCTGATGTTCATGTTGAAATTCAAATGAACTCTGATCCACTTGTTAGTTTGTTTTATGTTTTGCTAATGTTGTTCTAATAAACTGGGATTTAGTGGAATAATAAGAGCCATTACAAACAATTACAGTTCTAATGTTTTGCAGATTCTGATGATTTCTACAAGCAGCCCATCACTATGGAGGATCTGATTTCTTACAGTTTTCAAGTGGCCAGAGGCATGGAGTTTTTGTCTTCCAGGAAGGTCAGCTTATCTCCTTACTATTTTTCTTCTTCTTAAAAAAAAGAAAAGAAAAAAAGCAGGAATAAAGTGAAGTTTTATTTTTAAATTTTTTGTTTTACAAAATAATTGCTTAAATTTATTTTTAACTGATACATTAAAACCTAAAACTTGTATGTATTACCATATGATGTTTTGATACATGTTTACATTACATAATGTTTCAATCAAGTTAAATATATTCATCTCCTCAGTTATCTTGTCTTTATGGTGAAAACTTCCAAAATCTTTTCTTCTTTGCCAGGCATGGATACATGTCTCTGCTATAAATCCCATTTTCCTAGTATTTGCTTATACCTATGTCCTTTAGTGTAGAACAAACTCAACCCAGGTGCCTGAATTTGTCCTGTTATGAGGAGTTTTGAGAATGATAAACCTGGGGTGCCAAAGAGTAGAATTTAATACCAAGAGATTCAGATTGGACAAATACAGCAACCATTCTCCACAGTACCCTCTGGCATGTTTTCAAAAATTGGTCAGAATCCCAGAGTACAGGACTTCCCTGGAGAGCATCTATCATTCCATCTACAAAGGGTCCTCCCACAAATCCACAGCTGGATAAAATCTGACCCCCACCAGCCAGAATAAAAGGTTATGGGGATGTTTTGCTTGGTGACGAAGCTCAGATTGCCACCTTGGTTCACCAGGATGCTGTTTGCAGACAGTAGCCCACCAGAGTCAGAGCATTTCTTGACTTTCAGGTCTCAAAGGACTTATATTTGTAAAGAAATGCTTCATGTTTATGGTCACTCCATGTGCGCTGAGAGTGGCTTCCTTCACAGCATGTGAAATGGATCTTCAAATTAAGAATAATGACACTGAGGAAGCACAGGAAATTAGTTAGACTCAAGAAATGCATTGATTATGCATTTGTTTTATTATAGTGCATTCATCGAGACCTGGCTGCGCGAAACATTCTTTTATCTGAGAACAACGTGGTGAAGATTTGTGATTTTGGCCTTGCCCGGGATATTTATAAGAATCCCGATTATGTGAGAAAAGGAGATGTAAGTCAGCTTGATGTTTATTTGTCTCATTTATACCCTGTCATTTTAAAACCACCGACCAAGGCCCTTGGTAAATATTTATACTTCCTCACCAGTAGTCTCTGAAAACTGTCCTGTGCTTACTGTGAAGAGAGCAGTCCAGAAGAGCCATAGAGCGCTTGTATGGGACTCTGAATAGCCACTGTCTCCTGGTTCTATTGTCCCTAATCCCTGGCTTGGTACCGGTCCTTTCTGAAGCACTGCCTGAGGCTTGCTAACCAGAGAAGTGTTTAGTTGGGCCCTGGTAAGGCCATATCATTCCTTGCCTTGGGCTCCTATGGGAGTTCCTTGTACCATTGAAAAGAACAGCCTGGACTCTTTCCCTCAAATAAACCCAGATGATTGATTCAACAGGTGTGTGTACCTCCGGAGAGGGTGGGGTTTATCTCGCTGGGAGGAAATTGATTACCTCCCCTGTATGCCTTCCATGCCTAGCATCTCCCTGCTGGCGTACACTGGCCCCCTTCTCCATTTGTTTTTGAACATAATGTTATTTGTCACTTAGTAGGTGACCTCCTGTGTCCTCTGTGGGTGACCTCTCTTCTGTGACCTCTACCATGAGGCCTTCAGCTTATGTCTGAGCTCTGAAGACTATTCTACAGCTACAGATCACCTAGAAGTCTTGCTCAACCATTTTGCTGGCCCCACCCCCAGCCTCCCTGATTTAGTAAATTTTGGGTAGGGCCTGAGAATTGGCATTTGTAACAAGTTTCTAGGCTGTGCTGACTTAGCTGTCCAGGACCACACTTTGACAACTACTACTCTGTTGTCACTTTTTAAAGGAGGGGAAAAAAGCAAAACTTTCCTTGGAAACCGGGTCTTCACAGATGATATCTACCTGTGTTATAGTCTGTCCCTCTTTTCTGTTCCTTCTGTGTCTCTTTCAACCCCTCCTTGCTCCTCCCCCTTCCTTTTTTCTTTGTCTTTCCATTATCCCATACTTTTGCCAGTCCCCATCCATCCAACTCCCGGGCTAACTCACTGGGATTCTTGCTATCTGGAAGAGAAGGAAAATTTGTCTGCAGGCCTGAAAACCAGCCATATAGTTTTCTAAGTACTAAATACTTGAATATTAAAGTACCTTTCTTCTTCAAATACCTTTGCCTGTTCTCTGTATTGAATGACTTATTTGGGGGGAGTGAGGGAGCTAAGAATTGAACCCAGGACCTCATACATGCTGAGCATGTCCTCTACCACTGAGTTGAGTCCCCAGACCCCATACTATGACTTTTAAAATCCTGTCTTTTTGCATAGGAATGCCTTTTAGACTTTTCCTTCTTAGGAAAAATTCCAGAAAATCATCACAAATTTTCAGGATGTCCTCTAATTCAGATCACTCTTTCCCAAGCCTTCAGTGTCCCTGTGGAATGCAGCCTCCTCCCCCCTTCTCCCCCTCCAAGCAGAGGGGGGCGGGGAGGATTTCTTTCAGAACCATGGAGTTAGATCTGAGGGGCTTAGTAAACATTCATCGCCTTTGGAGGGTTCGGAGTAGTATGCAGTGCAGTCTTCTAGCATAACACTGCACACCCTATGAGTTTTCTCTGTTTGGAAAACATGGCTGCTCTAAGAAATGATGTCTGGGCCAAGCATTAATGTGATCCATAGGCACCTGAGTTGGATGTTTTGTTTTCATGCCCTTCTTCTCAAGCCTGCCTTGCCTTCTTCCAGACTCGACTTCCTCTGAAATGGATGGCTCCCGAATCCATCTTTGACAAAATCTACAGCACCAAGAGTGACGTGTGGTCTTATGGAGTGTTGCTGTGGGAAATCTTCTCCCTGGGTAAATTTGGAGGAGGGAAGAGATCAAACAGCCTAGAAATAAATGTATTCATCTTCTGTCAAGCATCCTTTGTCTAGACACAACCTTGAGATCAGCACTCAAATTGCAAACTGTAGAAGGGGCATGGATCCTGGTCGCCTCTCAGTACAGTCATGATATGTGTGTGTGTGTGTGTGTGTGTAAAAATGGCTTTACAAACATGAACAAGGTCAGACAGTAGAAAATCTGGAATCAGGTCTATCTTTCTCTGCCCTTTGCCCCCTTTTCCATTGCCTCAGACACCCCCATGTCTAATGCCCTTACCCTTTTCCTCCCCATAACACCTGCTCCCTCAGAATTTCTTCTCAGGAAAAAACCTGATAAGCACAGCTGAAACGTGGGGAAGGTGTCTTTAGATAAAGGAGGCATCAGTGGGTCCACTGCATGCCATGGGGGCTGCAAACCTAGTTGCAGCTGCAGCAGGGATTGCCTGCAGCTTGGGGCCAGTGGTGATGCTGCCTCCTATTCCACATCCACCCAGCACTCCCGGGTCTGGGTGCTGGTTTATAAGAGCCAGAGAGATTCAGCCAAGGTAGTTAGTTGTACAAAAGACAAGTAATAGACAGTGCCACATCCCAGAAGGGGACAGGAGTTTCTAAAGGGGGTGAAGATGGGATTTGAGACCTGGCGAAGTGGTACATGCCCATAATCCCAGCAACTCAGAAGGCTGAGGCAGGAGGATGGCCTTAGCAACTTTGCAAGACCCTATTTCAAGATTAAAAATAAAACAGACTGGGAATGTAGCTAAGAGCTTAAGCACCCCTGGATTCAATCCCCAGTAAAAAAAAGAAAAAAAGATAGGTTTTGAATTGGGGACGAAAGGACAGGGTCCAAGGAAGCAGACAGAAAGAAAAAGGAGCTGTCTTTTCAGTGCCTCTGATATTAGCACATGACACAGCCCTACTTTATGCAAGTAAACTATAAAGAACACTGGTTATATAGATTCTGCCTGCAATTCACCCACTGAGGGTTTCTAGAAACCTTGCTGGAGTTCTCTTATTCAAAAGTGTGCATGGAACCCACATCTGCTCCCAAATACATAGTAATGATGTGAGGCCTCCCAAACACGAATTCTAGCCAAGAGTCTTATGGACTTTGCCAAAAATTTGCCTTTCCTAGCAAATAAAAGTCATCCAGTAACATCCCTGGTTTCCTGTAATGTGTAAAAATCATTCCCCTGCTTTCGATGACAGGCACCTGTAGCTTCCAGTCTTTGAAAGCCACTAGGCCTTTGCAGTGACACAGTGCCAGCACTGCATGTCTCCCAGCTGCTTCCTACCAGCAGTAATCACAAGAAAGTGCAAACACATTCTGAGATAGACTAGATTTGTGGGCTGGAACAGAACCGACTGGGAGGCCTTACCCACTTGTACACTCAGTCAGGGATCCCCTTAAAAGGATTGCTTATAGGAGAATCTTAGTCACACTGGCAAGGGGCAAAGTCTAGGTGCCTCTGGAACCTTCATCTTTGCAGACTCCTGACCATGAGCAGCCCCCAACCTATACCACTGAAACTTGTTCTGGAGTTCAAGACACTCCCCCTTTAGGCCTGTCATAAGCGTTAGTCCCCAGTACTGTAAGACTTAAAATCACTGTTACTGAGGTATGCCCAATCCATTAAATAGCCTAGTCCATTGGCTTTCTAAAGGTCACTAACCTGAGGAATGAGACTCTAGTGATGGGATTTCTTGTGGGGACAGAACAGGGACTCTTCATATTATTCCTTCCCCTGACCAAAGAAATAGGAGCAGCCATAGGAATGACATAATACACTAAATACCATGAGACCAAACAGTGAAGTATGTGTCCGTGTTGCTAACCAACTCTGTGTCCTACCCTATGTTGACATCCACTTCAATCACCATGTTTTATTATTCAATCGTTATGTACAATTACAATGTCTTACTACTAAATATTACTTTAAAGGGAGGAAAGAAACACTGAATTGTCCCCTTATGGTATTTTGTGCCCTGAAACTATAATGTGCCTGTGTGTCCCCACTCTGTCTCCTGCAGGTGGGTCTCCATACCCAGGAGTACAAATGGATGAGGACTTCTGCAGTCGCCTGAAAGAAGGCATGAGGATGAGGGCCCCCGAGTACGCAACTCCTGAAATGTGAGCCAGCTTCCTTCATTCCTCACCACGGCACCTCTGAAGGGAGTTGATGTGTTAGAATCCCCATCTTGAAAGATGCAAACAGTTATCCTTTTCTTCAGGGTTCCCTGTCCTCAGCCTCTATTGGGCCCTTCTGTGCTGGGAGTGTTTTCCTAAAGTGGGATACATTGTCCTTGATTCATCCCACTATTTCCTCCTGACCACTGGCATGACTTTTCAAGGCTCTAGCTGGGAACTGAAGTTAGAAATTTAGTTTTTAGGTATAAATCCAGGCAAAAACAAATAGACCACCCAATAAGAGAATGCAAGACCTTGACCGCACTAAGTGGGAGCCTAATGAGCTAAATCACCACATGGTCAAGGGCCAGAAGTACCCTTGACCATAAGTCCAACGGTGCTACAGACTCACGAGAGGCATGCTTTGGACTGTCGGACAAGTAGTGTAGGAGGGGGAAAGAAGAATTCTCTGACCAAAGCTATGATTATACTCCACAGAAGGTGACCTGGGCAATGTACCTTCTTTAAAATCCTTTAGAAATAGGCTCTGCTGCTGTCTGGACACTGAAGCAGACAGCTTCTTGAAGTGCCTTCCTGCTGTACCGTCCTTCTGGTGACTCTAGGAAGGTGACAGGCTCTGTGTGAAGGCTTTCCCATTGTTGGGTTGTACTTGCTCGCCTCTCTTGTGCACTCTTTTCCTGAGACTATGTGCATGTTTTGCAGTTTGAGGCCTGATCAGGAATGTGATGACACTTGCAGTTTTGTGGAGCTGCTGACAAGGACTTGGGCCTCTCTGAGGCGGCACCGCCTTTCCTGAGCAGGCAGGCACCCCCCCCCTCCCACTCACACAATGGGGTCCTGTCAGAGCCCTGGGATGGCCTTTGGGGAGGAGTCGGGTAGTGAAGGAAGCGTGGGCTTGGCCAAAGGGCAAGGTTGCTGGCTCTTTCCTTCATCATCTTGGGATAAGGCTAGGTCAGATCCTGGACAGGGAGCTGGATGAGGGAGACAGAGGACTCAGGCGTGAAGGCAGGACAGGGGAGCAACCTGCAATCAGGGAAGAGGCAGGAGATTGTTTTCATCAGTCTTGCATCGTGGCCTCTTCAGCAAAGCACAGGAAGTTTGAGGCAAGATCTCTTTCTGGGGCTGCAGAGTGAAATAGGCCTTATGAATTTTCACTTTCTTGAGTCCTTTAACTCAGTGGTTTAACATGAGATCATTTTGCACTTTATGCTTTCCTAAATGTTTTCCCCATGTAGTCTAATGTGAATTTCCCACAACCTTCAGGATCAAGTAGGACAGATATTATAATCTGAATTTGACAAGTATCAAAACTAAGACTGAGAAGTATGCCCTCTGTCATGTAAGTGTAGCAGAGGACACAGATTTAGAAACCAGCCCCCATACAGATTTCCTTGACCACAGGTGTTGTTAAATTAGTAATACATCGCACATTCCCCAGCAGAAATGGTACTCTGATAAACCCATGCGTGCTATGCATTAAATATGTCCTTCACTTTTATATAATCTGAAAATCATAAATTCTCAATTACTAACAATAATAATAATTGCAGTTATTTTTACACAATATTAACTAAATGTTTATTTAGTGCTTATAAGTGCCAGACACTGTTTTAAGCATTTTTAATGTATATTAATTTGCTTCATGCTCATGACAACTCAGTAAAGTATGTGATTCTATTAACTCCATATTACAGATGAGAAAGCCAAGGCACAAAACATTGCTAATCAGTTGAGCAAACTCAGTCTAAGTTTAGAGTCCACAACATCATCCTACATACCAGTAGGATCTGTCTCCAGTTCTCAGCCAGGTTCTGGTCCAGAATAACTCTAGAGGTACAAAGTAACCTCCACTGTGGACTAAAGATTCCCCTAGACTTTATCAAGGCTTCAAATCTTTATATAAATTTCCTCCATGTAGCCCCTGAGCCCTAAGCAACTTATAGACAGGGATGTGGTTTCTCAATTCTGGGAAGAAGGTCAAAGGAGTGGAATCTAGAAATGAGAAACCACAAATGAAACTAGAAAACAGCCAGTGGTTATAGGTGGTCCCTATTGCTAGTTTATTTTACAAATTTTAAAAAGTAAGATGTGACTTGGTGAAGGGGCTGAGGCTGTGGCTCCGCAGTAGTGCACTTGCCCAGCATGTGTGAGGCACTAGGTTCAATTCTCAGCACTGCATATAAATAAATAAAATAAAGGTCTATCAACAACTAAAAAAATATATTAAGAAAAAGATATGACTTGGTGAAATGTTTCCTCAGAAGGCCAGGATTCAGGTCTTCAGCCATTTTCTCAAGCAAGTGAAAGCTGATGGGGTAATCTTGTTTGTTCCAGAAGTAGGAAGGGGTGAGAATAAAGTGCAGCTTCTCAGAACTGTGATTTCATGACCTGAACTTGGCCTATAACGGTGTGCACTTGGGAACTTGGGTGATAGCTTGGAAGGGAAACTCTTCCCACAGTCCCTCACCCCAACTTAGGTGCAACTGGTGTTTCTTTACTTCATCAAACCTGTTTACTTAGTGGTGAAAATTGTATAACTGAGTGGAATCGTTGGTTCCTCGCCCAGAGCCTGTTTAGTCAGATGTTTTCTGAGATGATTTGTATTGAATCGTAGATTGGAGGAGTGGAATCTAGAAATGAGAAACCACAGATGAAACTAGAAAACAGCCAGTGGTCATAGGTGGTCCCTATTGCTTATTTCAGTAAAGAAGCAAGGGCAGTCCTGCTGGAGACGAGCTGGGGCTCTGCTGAATGAAATAAGCCCCCTGCTCCCTGGGCTCGGGCCCCACATGCTTGCTGGTTCAAGCCTTCCTTGCTTTTGCTATCTTTATGGATTAACTAGGTATATATTTAGTATTCTTCCAACCACCTCCTAGAATCTGCCTATTGTTAAAAGTAAAAGAGCCTTGGATGATTAGGCTTGAGTTAAGTAAGGCAGAAGCAGGCCATCCCTGCCACAGCCAGTGTACCCTGAGGGGAGGCACCTCAAATTTTTATCTAGTGCCCCCCTGTCTCTGTAGTATATATTTTTGTACCTAAAATTAATTAGTAAAATGTGTAAACTTACTTAAAATGAGGTCCATGTAGAGTTATATACACTGGTGCCTTGTGCTATTTCTGCCCTTTCTAGCAAGCAGCTTCTAGCAGGTGGGCCCAGGAACTCTGAATTGAGCGCCAGGATTTAAAGCACTCAGGAGAAAGTATCTTGAGCCCTTCATCAGCAGTACTATGGGTCAGGGATACTTGGGACCTTCAGTGCTTGTGGCTACCTGCCCTGTGTCTCTCAGAAAGGAAGGAAAGTAACCCAGAGTTAGAGAGTTAGTGGTCGCTTCCTCATTTCCCATGTCTTCAGTTTCTATAAATTGCTGCAGAGCCCCACATGGGCCAATCATCATGCACTCCAAAAGGCTCCCACAGCTCCTGGAACCAGCTGACCTCCACCACAGCCCCTGGAGTCAGGGGAAGTAGGTACAGTAGGTGAAGTACAGGGGCAGAAGGGACCTAGAATCCCCTTCTGAGAAGTCTTGGATGAGGATTAAGGACAGGACTCATTAAGACCAAATATCTGAATGGAAGATTCTCCTATGATCTTTATGAGCTCCTGACCCTTAATTAAAGACTCGGGATATCAGTCTCGTTAGATACTTATCAGAAAATAGAGCCCAAAATTTCATTGGAAAGCTTTCTTCCAAAGACTGGTGCCCAGACCCTGAGGTACCTAGAATTGTTTTCTTGGTTAAACCAGAATACTGGGACAAACACCAGACCCTTGGGATACATACACCTGGAACACATTGTTTGCCTCTCAGAAGTATTGTTAGTGAATGGTTTTTCTTGTTGTTAAGACTTTGGCCAACATGGAGATATATTATACACAGCAATCCAGTGAAGTCCTTACTGCCTAATTGGTAATGATGTTAAAGGAAGTTTAAGAGGACCCCCTTTCAGATTTCAGTGCTAGGAACAGCCACACTTCTTATGAGTACCCAATTTGTTTTTAACTCCTAGCTAATATGCATCATAAAATTGATTATTTCTTGGTTTTCTTCAAAGTGTTCAGAATCCTGATGTAACTTTTGCATATGAACTTTTCCCATAGTTTTACCTTTTTTTCTTGTTTTTATTTTACTTTCCTCCTCATATTCTTCTCTTCTTTAAACCTTTCTGTATTCTTACTATCTTCATTGATTACCTCATATACTTTGAAACAAAACAGGGATATACGAAAGAGAGCTACTAAAGGCACACATCTGACGAGGAACAGGGGTAGGATGACTATTGGAGTTTCTCAGACTTTTCCCTTAACAACACCCAATTCCCAGCCCTATGATAATGTCTGCAATGTGGCCAAAGAATTCATGGAAGGAGCAGAGCTGTCTCTTCCCAGAAACCAGTCTAACTTCCTTCATGAGATATTTATGAAGTGTTTACAGGCCAGATCCTGCACTAAGTGAGGGTTATGGAGATGAGGTTCCAGGCCTCATAGTTCTTACAGACTAGTTCTGACCAGTTCCAAAGTCCCAACCCATTTAGATTGTGATCTGCCTTAGTCAGAGTCCTCTCTGGTCCAGAGGATCTTCTGAAAAAAAGAGATAACTTAAATAAGCATTGCATACAGAACAGAGAGAGCCCAAAGAGAATAAATCCTTAATCCAGTGTGCGTGTGGACCTCTGGCATATGTTTTTCATAGAGAGGAGTAGATAGAGACCTCTACTCCAAGCAGACATGACCAAGAAATAAGCCAATATCTTTACATCTAAAGTGATGGAGGAGAAGAATCACAGAAAAAAACCTGTTGAAATTGGATTCACAGAATAAGATTTGGCCTCTGAGATATTAACACAGATGTTTCAAATCCAGAAGCCTGGCTTGTACTTTTTTACCTTAGTGTTGAGAGGCCAGTTTGTAATAGGAGCTTTGAAATGCTGGGCAAACAAAGCCATACACGGGAACCTTGCACACAGTACAAGGAACAACTGAAGTCTACACTTTTGGGGACCTTACCTTTTGGAAGCAACCTGGGTCATGTACCCAGCACCCCCTCCTGTATCTGGTACAGAGCCTAAAATCAGAGAACTGTGAAGACTTGAAAGTATATTTATTGAGATGTTGGCTTAAACTGACTTCTGTTACTATCCAAAAATGAAATAGGAACTGCCAACTATTCATCCATGGTGTTTGCAGCTGTTTTTAACTTTCAGGACACTGTCCTGATTTTGAGAGTGAGTGTAAGAACATTCCACTTCATATCCAACTGCAAAGAACAGCGGTGTTTCCTTTCCAAGAAGCTCTGCTTGATCCATAGGACTCAATCCTTCCATTCTGCAGAAGCCACAAGCACTCCAAAGAACTTGGGTCACAAGAGTTCTGGAGGATTGGTTTGTTAGTGGGCCTTGGTGGACTTGTGCTCCCACTGCTAGCAAGATATGGCCCATGCTGCCTCTTATGTGTTGGTGCTACAGACCCAATCATAATAATGAAGCAATATCACTACTATAAAAAGCATGATCTATCTATCTATCTATCTATCTATCTATCTATAAGAAGAACAGCCCTCATTTTGCAACATGGCAGGCAGTCTATATAAATATATCCTGCTCTTCAGCTCTTCCTCTGTGCTTTCACCCAACAGCTACCAGATCATGTTGGACTGCTGGCACAAAGACCCAAAAGAAAGGCCACGATTTGCAGAACTTGTGGAAAAACTGGGTGATTTGCTTCAAGCCAATGTACAACAGGTAAAACTAAATTTATCTAGACTCTCATAGGCCAAATGCCTTTGAATGTGGTCAAGGGGGTGTGTTTGTTGGTTGTTCTAAGAGCTCTTAATAGAAAAGATGAGATCAGCCATTAAAAGTATGTCTGCACACAGAATTACCCTCTCAGAACACAAGCAAGAGTGGGCAAATGACATAGCTGAATCTGACATAATGTTTTACAGATATTGGTTGAAATAGAAATCTGTGCAATTAGAGTTCTGTCATTACTATTTTAGGATGGTAAAGACTATATCCCACTCAATGCCATACTGACAGGAAACAGTGGTTTTACCTACTCAACTCCTACCTTCTCTGAGGATTTTTTCAAGGACAGTATTTCAACCCCGAAGTTTAATTCAGGAAGCTCTGATGATGTCAGGTAAGATTTTTTTCCCCCCAAACTTTCTATTACAGAAATTTCAAGCATTAGAAAAAAAAAAAGAAAGCCAGATGCCATTGTGCACGCCTATAATACCAGCAGCTTGAGAGGCTAGACAGGAGGATTGCAAGTTCATAAAAAAACAAAAAGGGCCGGGATATAGCTCAGTGGTAAAGTGCCCCTGGGTTAAATCTCTAGTACCAAAAAAAAAAAAAAAAAAAAGATAAAAGAAACAAACAAAAAGAGAAAAGAATTAAGTAATTATCACCCATATGTACACCTCTTAAATTCAACCATTGTTAACAATTTGCCATATTTTGTATATATAGTTCAAATGTGGGCAGGGGTGGGCTATGTGTTTTTCTTTGTTCTGAACCATTTTAAAGTGGGCTTATCACATTATAATACTTTACCCCTAAATCCTTTGTATATATCTCCTAAGGACATTCTCCTGTATAACCACACCAAAACTATCATACCAAAGAAATTACTTAATATCATATAATGTTCAAATTTCCATAATTTTCTTCAAATGTCTTTTATAGATTTTTTTTAAAAAGAATCCAGAATAACACATAACATTTTCTTAGGTTTCTTTAATCTTACTCTAGAACCATCCCCTTTGTTTTTCGCCCATTACATTAACTTTTAAAATTAAAACTGAGATGAAACTAAACAAATAAAACTGGCCTTTTTTTTTCTTATTTAACAAATTAACATATCTTGCATTACTCCAAGCTAGTAATTACTCCACAGAGGAGATTAAAGAAGGGAGGGACAAAGAACAAATATTTATTGAGGGCCTCTGCTGGCCAGGGATTTGCTCGTTAGTGCTCATAATTACATATGTATTAAACATATTCAGTCCTCATATTATAGTTACACAGACATGTGCTGCCATCTTGCACTGTTCGGGCTCTTTGGATATATTATATTCAAAACAATCCTGTGAAGTACATATAGCTTGTTACACAAATGAGGACATTAAGGCTCCAAAGAGGAGAACTTGTCAAAATTTGTGGCTAAAAAAATGGAAGAAAAGAGGATCTAACCCAGGAGTTCTGACCCTTCCTGTACCCTATGCAATCAAGACCTCTTTTTGGACCACTAGAAGGTCTTGTGGGCATTCTGTCTACTTTATCAGCAGTAGACACAGTCCTCAGATTTTGACCTCAGTTCTGCCACCATGGAAGGAATGGTGAAGAATTGCAACAATCAGAAAACATTGATAGCTATCTGTGACAGGCTTTGAAGAAATCCAGTGGGCAGCCTAGCCCCATGATGGATTTCAGGTCAGCAACACCAAGAGACCAAAGCAAATGAGTCATCCAGTTTTTAAAGAAGAGAAAACTAGCTTGGAGTAAATACCTTAGCAAAGCCTGATTGGGTTAGAGATGAGGGTGGGAATACAGTGTCAAAGAAATTTGGACCCTTCATGTTTGTTGCTTAGCCTTATGCCTCAAAAGGAGCTGGCCTAGGATGTTAATGGTGATAGATTATCAGCCTGAGAAATTCAATCAATAGGTGAATTTACCTATGAGTAACTGTCTAATGGATATCCCTGATGGTCTTTCCTAATACGTTGTCAACAAAAAACAGTAGGTAGCAATCAAGAAATTATGCAAATCCTATTCATTTCTCCCATTAAGTATTCACAGTACAGAATATACAAGACTGGCCCTAATACTCAATTATGTGACTAAATCAGCTTTGTAACCTTGAAATGTCATTTTATTTGTCACCCCACATTTTGTAGGAAGTAGGATCTATACGTGATAAAGTTACATCTCTTCCCTGGGCATCATTACTCTCATAAAGTGTTTGGGCCAAATGATGTTTTAGGTCTCTTCTAGGTCTAATGTTTTCTGATTCCACAAAGGAACCCAGTGGGTCCTTTTGGAGTTTTGCTGAAAACCATGACATGTGAATTGACACCTATGGTAGGAAGTGTTATTGCTGTGAAGATTCCCAGTGGGCACAGCAGAAAACTTGAGCTGTAAGTTAGGCAATTGTGCTGGGAGTGGTGGCACATGCCTATAATCCCAGCAACTTAGGAGGCTGAGGCAGGAGGATCACAAGTTTGAGGCCAGTCTGGGCATCTGAATAAGCCCCTCTTACAATAAAAAATAAAAAGGATTGGATTTGTAGCTCAGTGGTAGAGCACCCCTGGGTTCAATCACCATTATAGAAAATGGAATTTTGGTTTAACTTAGCCACAATACAGTGCCCCTAAACTCCTAACTAATCAAAGGTAAGTGCATTTTCCTGTTTTAATTATTCTTTTTGTTTTTTCATTAGATATGTAAATGCTTTCAAATTCTTGAGTCTGGAAAGAATCAAAACCTTTGAAGAACTTTCACCAAATACCACCTCCATGTTTGATGTAAGTCATGAAGTTTAGCTACTCAGTGCATCCTAACAGAACCCTTTCCTGGCTCCACCCAAACACCAACTCTAGGAATCTAGTAGCTCTTGGTGAAGGTCAGCAATCAGCAGTGATTAAAATGACAGTATCAGCTGGGCATGGTGGTGCATGCCTATAATCCCAGTGACTCTGGAGGCTGAGGCAGGAGGAAAGGAAGTTCGAGGCCAGCCTCAGCAAATTAATGAGACCCTATCTTAAAGTAAAATTTTAGAAAAAGTACAGGGAGTGTACTGGATTCCATTCTCAGTACAAAAAACAAAACAAACAAACAAAAAACATGACAGTGTTTGGGAGACTGACAACCAGCCTTAGCTATGCAAAACTAATTTGAAAGTGAATTATATGGTTTGAAGATGAGCCATAATTCACTCCAGGGCCTAAGTCCTTTTTTGTAGAAATTTAGTCCCTTAAAAACTTCATGTGTTTCTAAGAATCTTGGCTCCTTTTAAAAAAAAATATTTATTTTTTAGGTGTAGTTGGACACAATGCCTTTATTTTATTTACCCACCTTTATGTGGTGCTGAGGATCAAACCCAGGGCCCCGCACATGCTAGGTAAGCGCTCTACCACTGAGCGCTCTACCCCAGCCCCAGCCCCAGAATCTTGGCTCTTGATGATATATTCTTTCCTTGAAAGTAGTGGAGGAACTTCTAGTTGTCAGTGACTAGAACTTGTGATGCAGCAGCTTTGAGTCCAGAAGTCCACCTAGGCTTTTGGTCCTTTTCCCCCCAGGTTCTGCAGGCTGAACAGCCATGTTCCTACTCAGACACACTGGGAGAAGAAAACCAAGACAGCCTTGCAAACAAGAGCCTCTCCCAGCTCTTCTTTCCAAAGCCCTAGATGTGAGGTTGAGAGAACAAGGAGAGGAGAGGAAGGTTGGGCAGGATGGCACTTCTCTCAGGGCAGATCCTAGTACTCTGAATGTGATCTCCAAACAAGCTCAGTGCCAGAGTCTAGAAGCAGGCCAGAAATGGCTCTCAGGATCCATCCACACCCACTGAGTTAGATACCACCTTGTCACAGATCCCAGGAGATTCCTGTGCACATTAAAGTTAGAGAAATGCTGATGATAATTGTATTCCACAAAGACCTGGAAGAACAACACTTGAAAGTTTTTCAAATGTCATCACATAGTCAACGTGGCTATGAGACGAGCACAGTCACTTTAAAAAACACAAAAACCTGCTGGATGTAGTGGTACACGCCTGTAATCCCAGCAGCTCGGGAGGCTGAGGCAGAAGGATCACCAGTTCAAAGCCAGCCTCAGAAAAAGCGAGGCACTAAACAACTCAGTGAGACCACATCTCTAAATAAAATACAAAATATGGCTAGGGATGTGACTCAGTGGTCGAGTGCCCCTGAGTTCAATCTCTAGTACCACCCCTCACACACACTCACACACACACACCAAAAACATGTTGAACACACCAGACAGAGGGATAAGATGATTTTAAAATATAAACATTTAAATTTTAACTAGCAAAACACAAAGGTAACGTAGATGGAAATTTTGTTTTGTTGCTTGGTACATAGGGTGCAAGTCCAGAAAAACAATACGGAGCAAAACATGGAAGATTTCTCAACTTTAACACTAACCCTAATATAGCAGTGATAGCTATACTGTGACAGTTTGCTTGTTTGCTTAGGTGTTTACTGATAAAGATGTGAACACAACTCAGTAAGAGCCTTAGGGGAGTCAGGAACATGATACGAAGTCTGTTTTCTAGAATATGCCATATTAATAGTCATGGAGAGTCTACATAAAACTCAATGCTAAAGACAACTCCATGAAATCTAATCACTGGGAACTATGAACAAGGAGAGTCTGAAAATTTTGTAGGATCTTCAAGAAATCAAACTATATCTTTATAATTTCCCAGACTTTTTACATATTGTAACCACCAAATGAAAGCATACGCATAGCCAACCATCATCTGCCAAAATTAGTTTATATATATGTATGTAATTCACATAAAAGTTTCCTGTGGCAAGTTCTAACCTGTTACCTGCAGTTTTCCTTTTGTTTAATAAGTCTATTTACTTTACCTTCAGGAGGAAGGGCTTCAAAGCCACTGTGAATAGACATTACTTGTAAATGATCGGAGTTTGTAGTTGCTGATATGTAGATTTGTGTCAATAGGCAGGGACTGTGGAGACCAAGAGCAGCACCTGGAGTAACCTCAGAGGTACATCCCAGTATCATCCCCCAGACTTAGTTTGGACCGCTCTGGGCCAGGCAAGTGTTTAACCTTCTTCATTTGTTCCCCAATAGGACTATCAGTTGGACAGTAGCACTCTGCTGACCTCCCCTTTGCTGAAACGCTTCACCTGGACTGACAGCAAACCCAAGGCCTCACTAAAGATTGAGTAAGGAAGCCGAGCACCTTTTTTGTCATCAACTGATGTGGGGAGGGTAAAGGAAGATACAAGGGAAGATGGTTTAATGAGGGATATTTGAGGACTAGACTACTTGCCTTCCTGAACAGAAAGCTGTTTTTCCCCAAAGGGCAAGAAAGGGGGCCATAAAATTGAGTAAATGCATACCAGACTCTAGGAAGGAAAGCTAGTGTTTAAGAGGGGAAAATGTTCACAAAATTCCTGCGAAACACATGAAACACAGAGCCTTAGAGGGAAGGTTCCTGAGCCCAGCTGTGAAAGGTATAGGTGGAAACATGCTTATGGGAGTAGGAAACAATGACCCCCCATTGTTCCCGGGAATAGCAGGATTTGTACCAGAGAGGTCCCACTACTGCCAGGCCTAAGACATGCCACTCTGAGAACTCAGCCCTTCCAAATAAGGACTTTCTACTTCTTGTTGATCCTGTTACTCTTTTCTCACTTGAGATTTCTCCACAGATCCCTGGCTTGTTTAGTCAGTTTCCCCTTCCATACTGTGGCCATTACTGCCAGAATTGCTTGGGATTGTGCTTTCTACTCGACTGGTCATAGGTGTCTTTTCAGCAACTCTATGCTAGTCTCTACCTCTGATTGTCCAAGCAGACATTCTCTCCTTTCCTGGCCCAAATGCCTGCCCCTTTCACCTAAAGGCAGAACCCACTCCTCTTAAGTCAGGGATCAAGCAGACTTTTTCTCAAAGGCCAGATAGTGAGCTGGTCAGTTCTGCAGCCACAGGCAAGACATAAACAAGTAGACATGACTGTGAATACAGGAGAAGATGCTCAACATCATTAATTATCAAGGAAATGCAAATAAAAACCACCATGAGATATCACTTGACACCTTTGAAGATAGCTGCAATCAAAAAGTCTGTTGCAAAGCATGTGAAGAAATTAGAACACTTATACATTACTGGGATAATGTTCTTACAGGTTAGTAGTTGCTCAGAAGCTAAAAGTAGAAACAACCCAAATACCCATCAATTTATGGATAAATAAAATGAGGTATATCTATACAATAGAATAGTACTTGTCAATAAAAAGTATAAGGTACTAATACATACTATAGTATGTTTTGTTGAAGAAAACAAAACCATAATGGATGAACCTTGAAAATATTATGCTAAATAGAAGAACCTATTCATAAAATATATGTCTTATATAGTTCCTTTTACATGAATGCCCAGAGTAGGCAAATCTAGAGACAAAAAGTAGACCAGTGGTTGCCAAGCCTGGTGGTATGGAAGGAGAGGAGAGACTACTAATGGATCTGGGTTTTGGAGAGTGTCCAAATGTTCCAAAATTGTGCTGGTGGTTGCACAATTTGTGTATATACTTGTTAGCTTCACATTACTATTACAAAATACCTGACTGAGATAACTAACTTAGAAAAGGATTATTTTGGCTCCTGGTTTTGCATATTCCAGCCTAAGATCAGGCAGACCCATTGCTTTGGGCCTCAGATGGGAGTGTCAGATGTGATGGCTGGAAGCTTGTGGTGGTGCAAACTGCTTGCCTCATGGCCAAGAACAAAGAGAGAAAGAGAAGGGGCCAGAGTTTCACAGTCCCTTTTGAGGTCATGTCCTCTGTGACTTAAGGACCTCCCACTAAGCCCTACCTCCTGAAGGTCTCACCATCTCCCAGTAGCACTACCCTGGGGACCAGCCATTTAGCACATGGACCTTTGGCGGCCATTAAAAATCCAAACTACAAGACTGAAAACCATTGATTTGCACATATTACATAGGTAAATTGTGCAGTATGTAAATTATATATAATCAAGCTCTGGTTTATAAGGAAACAAAACAGATGGCCTGCCCATGGGCTATAGTTTGTTGAACTGTTATCTAAATCCAAGTAAAGATGACAACAAATCCCCCTATAGGATACTTAGCTTAATTCACCAAGTCAGTTGGAAAGACAAGGACATTTCCATACAAATGTCTGCATACTTGTTCCTTTTAAGGTAAGCACAACAAAAGTGCCAGAGCTGAGACAGCAGATTAGAGGACACAATGAGGAAAGGATGGATATAAGGAGAAAGTAAAATACTGTTCTTTTTTTCTTCTTCTTATTTTGGAACACATCAGTAAGTGGGTGGCTACTTTTTTCTTGACTTTTGTTGAAGAAAACAAAACCATAATTTGTGTCCTGTTCTCTGAGAACACAGATGTGTTCCTCCAGACCAGCCATTCACAAGGTTCTCTTCTTGGTCCTGCTCCTGTTAAACAACAACAAAAAATTAAAATATGAAGATAGGAGAAGCTTCTCTTCCTCCTGTATCCATCTTAGGCTGGATGTAACCTACAGAATGACCCTGGAGCCTTGCTAGTAAAACACAGCCTCGTGATTTAAAAAGCTTTCCCTCTAGAACACAAGCATGATAGAAAGACAGATGTGATAGATGTACCACTTTTGTGTGTAACACTCTTTGTTTCTTAAAATGATTTTAAAAATTACCACAAATGTGGTTGCTTAAAAATAAAGGAATTTACTTTTTCTTAGTTTTGGAGGCCACAAGTACGAAGGTATCGGCAGCCAAATTCCCTCCACAGGCTGTGGAGGAGAATCCATTCCTTGCCTCTTCCAGCTTCTGGTGGTTTGGGGCATTCCTTGGCTTGTGGCTGAACCTCTCAGCTCCATCTTCACATGGACTTCTCCTCTCTGCGTGGTCATGATCTCCCTCTGCCTCCATGTGACTGTATTTGGGCCTCACTTGGATAAGTGTCACTCTACAGACCTGAGCTTAATCATATTTTTTGCCATATGAACTGATATTCAGTTTCCCTGGATTTGGCGTGGCTATTTGCAAGTCAGGGTAAAGACATTTTTTTTCCCATTGATCATATAAGCTATTTGACTTCAGAATACCCAAGTCTTGGAGTTATTTTCTACCTGGAATTATGGATTTACACTAACTAATCATATATTACACCCTTATACACTTACACTGGCATTTCTCCTTCTGCCCAGGGACACCAAGCTGGCATGAGGGAGCCAGTGTGCAGTTTTAGAACAAAGAAAATCTGATGAGACTTAGATGGCCTCCCTAATAATTCTAGGACAGATGTGGACAAATGTCTCACTAAGAGAGTGGCTTCTAGTGCCTTATTTTGAGAAACCTGTTCTGTACATTTGTTTTCCTTTTCTCTTTTTAGCTTGAGAGTAACCAGTAAAAGTAAGGAGTCAGGGCTTTCCGATGTCACCAAGCCTGGCTTCTTCCTGTCCAGCTGTGGACATATCAGATCTGCGCATGACAACTCAGAGCTGGGAAAGGAGGATTTGTGCTGCTCTCCACCCCCAGACTACAACTCCGTGGTGTTATACTCCACCCCGCCTGCTTAATGCATGACACAACCTTCTTTCTAGAAGCACAAGTATACCTGCATTCTCAGAAAACTAGCTTTTGCCAGTATTATGCATATATGAGTTTACACCTTTACCTTTCCACAGGAGCCAGCTGCTTTTTGTGACTTTTAATAGTACTTTTTTTTTTTTTTTTTTTTTTTTTTACTAACAAGAATGTAACCCCAGATAGAGAATAGTGACAAGAACACTACTACTCAATCCTCATGTTACTCCTCTTAGAGAAACCCTTTCTAAGCCCAATGACTTACCTGCTCCAGTCCCTGAAGCCTTAGGGCACACAAAACAAGAGGACTCCAGGAGATCACTGGACTCTACTAGGTCAGCCCTTTAGCTGGAGGGATCATGCGCTGACCTAAGCAGTGTCTCAGAAGACCTCTAGCAGGCCTAAGACATGTAAGAAAGAGAGGAAGAATGGGGAAAAGAGGGGAGATGAGAGAGAAAACAAGACTAGGCATAAGACAGATTTTGAGATGCATCATATCGGGAGGGAGTAGGAGAGGGCGTCTGCAATGCTGCTTCCATGGCTTCCCAGCCCTGACCAGTGGACTTTCAAGACACTAGCCAGGAGCACACAGGACAGAGAGGAAGGGACATTTCCTGGATTCTGGGAGACAAGAAAAGGACAATTTGTTTGATTAAAGCAAATCTTAAAGACTTTACCTATAGGACTGGTTCTATAGCCATTCCTATGAGTGGGATGTTTTGATTTATCCCATTAAGGGTGGCACTCAACTGTCAGCTCATACTATCAGCCTCTCTAGTGAAATGCACTGAGAACTTTCCAGAGCTAGTTTGGCTCCAGAGCATGACGGCCTGGCACTTGGCATGTTGCTCATGGGAAGCTAAGTGGTCTGTTGGTCTGTTAGAAATGTCTACTATTGGGCTCAAAGCTGCACGAAAAAATGATGTCAGATTGTATTTTGAATATTAATGTATAGACAAGACACTTAACTTTTTGTATCATCCTGTTGTGTACAGTTATTATAAAAGGAAGCTGAGGAGAATGAGAATGTAGTCTTACAGAGGGTTTTCTCTGTACCAAAACTGGAACTGATGGAATAAAATCCAATAAGGCAGAGTGGAAACTCTATCTTTCTACCAGTCAAACCAAGTCACCCAGAGTTGGGACCTGAAGCAGAGGAAGTTAATTGTGATTCCTTTTATTTAGTAGAGATTCCACAGTCTCATGCTACTCTGGAAAGATGTGGAAGAGCATTAACCAATGTTTATTAAGCACTTTATGCTCCTTGAGAAAAAAAGGTGATATGTAATTTATGTAAGATGTTTCTACAGTTGGGACTCAGGATATTAATTAATGAGCCATCAAATACAGAAAAGCCTATTTCATCTGCTTTGGACCTTGCCTTGGGTCTGAGGATGGTGGAAATAGGGAGACAGGGTAGAAATAGGGAGACAGGGTAAGAAAGGGTGCCTCCTTCTCCAGGATCTAGAGATAAGTGCACCCTGGGTCTCTAACATGGCTCTGTTGGATGTTGTCTATGCAAGTTATAGTCTGTGTACTTGGGTTGTATGCAGCTGCTGAACCAGTCAAGAGCTGAACAAGCAACAGTGAATCACTTCTGGGAGAGCAGAGCATGCTTCCTTTTATGCATGTAACTTAAATCTAAGACCTGGACTCTCTAAGTAAGTATTAGAAGAATGTATACTTATTTCCCTATTTGCCACATTTCTTGTTTAAGTTCTTTGTATGAAGAAATAGGAGAGTCAGCACATTCCCCAGTGAGACAGTGGGTGCCCCATGGAAGCTCTTGAGGACTTCCCAGCCAGGACAGAGGAATGAAGCAGGTCTCTCTACCAGGAACTAAATTCAAACAAAATCAGGTAGGGCCAGAAGAGGGGAGAAATCTTTGTTCTTCCTCTATCCATACACAAACACTCCAGTGAAAGCTGGCAATAATATAAATCAGGTAATTAGATGGAGGTTAAACAGAACACTCCAATCAATTCTCTTTCAGATCACATATGGATTCAGCAATTGATGATAAAAAGAAAACCTTAGCTATTCATGTGATATCTTGATTTTAATAATCTAATTCTGAATAAAAAAGAGATTTAGTATATACCCTTTTTCCAAAAAAAAGAAAAAAATCTATTAGGATTCTGTTACTCAGCTTCTATAAGGACTGGGGCTTATAGCCTACATGAGTGCATCCTAAAAATGGTTCCATCTAGTCTTCATGTAGAAAGATAAATGGAAGCTTGTAATAATGGGTATATCTAGTTGCAAAGCATTTGTTCATTAAAACAGCACTGAAAGTTAAAACACTAATTGACAGTAATATTAGAAACATTTGCCATTTATGACAAAAATGGTTAGCACTAACAAAAAACAAGTACTTCCTTCCAGGGCTTGTGAGATAATCTATGTATAACAGTATGGATGGATGGATGAATGTACCTTGTGCAGATCTGTATCTAGTTAGCCCAAGAAATGATGCTCAGACATTAGTTTTAGCCAGGGGACAATTTTGTCCAAATGCTAAAAGATGTTGCTTAGTTTTTTTTTTTTTTTAATCTTATTTTACAGCCCATAAGAATGTCAAACATGAAACAGATACATGCCAGCTCCACTTATATTGATTAAAGGAGGAGTGCATCTTTGACTGGCAGTGGTAGTAACTTTATGTGTATGTGTTTTTGTATCATGCTTAACTATTTAAATAAACTGGAATTTTAAAGTTACTTTTATACAAATCAAGAATATATGCTACAGATAAAAGATATTGGTCCTACATTTCTAGTCATGATGAATGTATTTTGTATACTATTCATAAAATAAAATTAACTTACAAAAACATCTACATATTTTGTCTCTAATTTCCTTGTAAGTGGAAAAAAAGGGGTCATGAATGTCTCTGGGTAAGGGGGCAGGGAGGACTGGTATTCTGAAAGATCTCATTAAACACCAGTTATTAAGCACAGCACAAGAAAGATAAACCAAATGCTACTAAAGAGAGGGCATGGAGCTTTCCATCATTACTACACAATAGCTGCTCTAAGCAATTGGAACACTGCAAACTGTAATAAATAAATTTTAAAAAACAAAAACAAAATCAAACTAGGCAGATTGCCCAGAAAACCAAACACTAGAATGAATAAATTCATGAGACAAAGCATACACTGAGTGAGTGCTGGCTGCAGATGAAAGTACCCTCAATTAAAAAGAGGCAGTCTTCCCTAACCACTAATTTTCAGCTGATAAACAATTATCATAATTAAAGGGTGTGTGAGAATATGTGTGCACATGTGTGTTAGAGTTTATGTGCAGAAAACCATACAAAATGATAAGCAAAAGCACAAAATACAAGAACTTCCCTAAGAAAAGAACTTCTGTCAAGGAGTCTTCAATTTGGTTTTGTGGATGATATCCTAGGAGGACAACACAGGTAATAACTATTAAACATGGAGTAAGTGACCAAAACTCTTGTCTTGGAAAGTGGCTGTGCCATTTATTACCTGCCTGACCACAGGTATGAAGCTAGATTGCAGAAACATAAGGAGAAAAATTGGGCCTACTTTCATGGGGACAGAGGTGAGAAAAGGGGATAAATGACTAACTTCAGTAAACTTGTTGTTAAGAGGGCAAGCATTGAAAACTTTCAAAAAGCTGAAATCCTTTTGAAAATACTGGTTTTCATAACATAAACATCACTCATTTGGGCAAATGATTTGAAGAATACTTGAGGTATCAGCATCACATCATAGTTTAGAAATTTTTTCATGACTCTGGAAACTTTCGGTATATTTGGAAATCCGCCCCACCACCCCTCCAGCAGGATGGTTTAATAAGGTTTATTGGACTTCTCAGTGTTAAACACACTACCATATTTTTTGGTTTTACAGCTAGGAAATGTTGAAAAAATATCCTGGATCCCAATACAGGGCTGGCCAACTTTCTTGAGGAAAAACACAAAACACAACCTAACCCCAAAATCCAACTTGATGCTGCTAGTATTCTATTTCTTGGTCTGGATTGTGGTACATAAATGTGTTTACTGTGTGATAATTCAGACTGTACACTTATTTGTGAACTTTTACATACATGAACGTATATGTATATGTATGCTATATTCAAAAAGATTATTAAATTAAAAAAACCCTGCCCCTTACTACCATGACTTTTCATGGAAGAAGCACCCATTTTTTAAAAGAGGAAGGGTTTAATCTTAGACTAAAACATATTAACTACATACTTGAAATAAACCTGTACAGGTGCTCAATTTATGTCAAGATAAACCCATTGTAAACTGAAATTATCCTAACTCCACCAAATGTCCAAACTTAGCGGCACAGCACCACATAAAATGTTAACTGTTTCTCCTTGTGACCATAGGGCTGAGTGGGAGCTGTGGTCACTACTACTGCCCAAGAAAGGATCCAAATTCAAATTTCCAAGTATTGGTTTTTATTAAATGTGTATTGCTTTTACATCATAGAGTTGAAATAGTATGTCTAATCCTTGTAAATTAGGCTCCGTCATCTTTTATTTTCCATTTTAATTTGTACCCCAAAATACCTAATGAATACATACTTTTCCATACATTGGGACCTGGAACCCATCTAGAGAAAGTAATTGCCATCATTTGAGGTGTTTAACACATGCCAGCAACTATTCTATGGAATAAACTCATTTTATTTCTGAGGCAATCTAACATGATACATATTATCAGATGCATACTTTTCATTTTTTCATTCTGCTTTCTCTTCTAAAAATGGACAACCCAAGGATGCTGGTATATTTGACCCATTCCTCTCATCAACTTAGATGCTGCTCCAGCAATTCACCACCCATTCACCCCCAATGGACTCCCCACTTTCTACTAGACATACAACATCCTGTTATTTGTCTTACAAAATAAAAAAAATTGATCCCAAGTTCTCCTCCACCTACCACCCATTTTCTATTTTGACAGTAAAATTCCTGAAGCAAGTTGGTTATAGGACTTGTTTCCAACTCTTGTTTACCCCAGTCACTGTCAACCCTGCTCAAAGCCAGAAATCTTAGTAACTGGCACGCTCAAATGACAACTGCTCTGCCTATCCACGAGCTGGTTGCTGAACCCAATGGTCAATTCTCAGTCCCAATCATACTTGACACATTAGCAGCTTCCTAAAAACACCTTCACTTTGATTCTAGAACATTACTTTCTTCCTCTCTCTCTAGCTACTTCTGTCCCTTTGGCTCATTTTACATGCCTTCCCTGACCTTTGAACATTGACCTTAGCCAACATCAAGGCTCTAAGTGGCATTTTTAGGATGACTTTCATGTACAGATAGCTCCCTGTTGGTCCCCAAATCCACAATGCTCAAGTTGCTCATATAAAAAGCTGGGGTATTTACACATAACCAAACTTATACTTTAAATCATTTCTAGATGACTCTGACAACCAATACAATGCAAATGCTATGGAAATAGTTGTTATAGAGCTACATCCCCAGCCCTATTTTGTATTTTATTTTGAGACAGGGTCTCACTGAATTGCTTAGTGCCTTTCTTTTGCTGAGGCTGGCTTTGAACTTGCCTCCTGAACTGCTGGGATTACAGGTGTGTGCCACTGCACCCAGCTCCTCTAATATTTTAAATTTGAGGTTGGCTTAATTTGTAGATGTTAAAACCGAGGGCCAACTTGTCTACTCCCTACTAAGATGGAAGCTTTCAAAACAGAAAATTATGCCTGTTATGGCCAGAGCTTTTTCCTTTGTTCCTAGAACTGTCTGGCATATAAAAGGCATTCAGTAAATACTTAAAGAATGAGTAAAACTCAATTCATTGAACTGGCACTGAGGGGTTGAGAAGTTCACAGAACTCTAATCAGAATTTACTGATTTCTTAACCACCAAACCATGTTGTGGTCAATACATTGTACATACAATAATTTAAAAGTCTTCTGTTCTCCTCTTTCTCTTCCTACCCCTACAGATTATATAGAAGATTTTAAACATGTTCCTCACTGTGTACCTGCTAAAAGTAGGAAGAACCACTGCTTTAAAGCAAACAAAAAATGATCAAGTTGTGAATTTCATTTATATCAAATGTAATACTGGCCTAGCTTTAACTGTTATTTTTCACATTTTCCCAGAAGAAATTTAAAGCTAAAAGGCCTTTCAAACATACCCTCCACCCTAGGCAGACTAATTTCCCCCTTCCTCCCAGGAACCTACAATATGCATTTTGATTCTCATCAAAATCCATGGACATTCTTTCAGTATCGTTCCACAAAAAAGGCTTCCTGTAATGCCATCCTTTTTCTGATTTCCAGAAAACCACAGATCTCAAACTAGAAATGATCCCTCTTCTAATACTGTTCACTTATTCCTCAAGCCCCTTATTGCCTTCTATCCGGCACAGTATTTCTTTCAACTTTTCCCTTCGAATGCACAAAAAACATGCATGTGCATGTGCACACACACACCCCCCACTTAATACCCAGGTTCAACAAATGGCAACATTTTGCCATTATTTCCTATCCTTTTATTCTGGACAATGTTTCTGGAGAAACTGGGGGAAGGGGTGCTTCTCATCCATATGGCAAATTTTTTAAAAAATTTTTTTGTAAGCTGTTGTTGGGACACACGCCTTTATTTTATTTATTTTTTATGTGGTGCTGAGGAACAAACCCAGTGCCTTGCACATGCTAGGCAAGTACTTTACTGCTGAGCCACAATCCCGGCCCCACATATGGCAAATTAAGTAAACAGAGACTTGCTAGCTACAGGGCTGGGTTGCTGCTCAATGGTAAAGCGCTTGCCTAGCATGTGTGAAGCCCTGGGTTCCATCCCTAGCGACCCCCCTCCCCCGTCGCCCCACCCCCAGAGTGGCTATACATCATTCCCTATTCCTTAACATAGGAATTCTCTCTCAATCATCCTATGAGTCTTGTATGAAAATGCTTGGATGTAACTATTCATTTTGTAATTACCAAGTCCCCAAATTGTAGTCTTAGTTCCTAGAACAGATCCAAGGACACAACAGATAGGCATTTAACAAATAACTAATAAATAAATTAATTAGTGTTACCATTTCAAAGACAAAAATTCTTCCAAAATACATTAAGTAATGTACAGCCTTTTAAAAACCCAATCATAAGACAATTGTCACTTTGTTATATGAACTGGTACCCCATCCCTCAAAAAAGGACAAACTTATCTCTGTAATTCTTTATTAAAAATACTGCTGTACACATAGAGACTGAAAACAGGATTAAAGATGAATAACACATATTGGGATCATGACATTAGAACTTAACATACTGGTGCTTTTTAGGGGAAGTTGTTGACGTCCAAATCACAGAACCAAGGTCAAAAGCAAAACACAAGGGTACCCTCAAAAATATTTACAATGAAGTAAATATGCTAACAGAATTTAAAATAGGTACAAAAAACTAAAATGACCAACGTTACATGATTTCAAGGGTTGTCCTTTCTGTGCTTTTATCTGACATAACAAGAAGGTATAAGAAGTTTACATCCTTAATTTGACTATCCTCATATATTAAAATCTTCCTATGGATTAAAGACTTTTAGACAACCTCTTAAATGGAATTACACTATGGAAAAGAGGGCTCCCCTAAAAAGCACCTAAGCAGAACTGAGAGTTCTTTTGAAAACCATTCCCAATAAAAACTAAATGAAAAATAAATATAAAACAAAGCTAAAAAAATATGCATTACCTGACACCAACTGTTCTCTGGCTGACAATATTTACTCATGGAAACATATCAGCTGTCTACCTTTTATATTCAAACCAAGTCCTGAGGTTAGGGGCTGAAGCAAACTAGCATTTATGATGCAGACATTCTT